ATTTTTATGGTGGTCACGATGGCTCAGGCACCACATGACGTATACGTGATGAAATTGTACTAGCTAATTGGCCAAGATGAGTATCTTTTTGATCAAAAAATTAAGCTGTTTAAATGCTTGTAAAAAGTATAATAAATAAGCTAAAGCCTACGTGTTTTCCCCTTATTAAAATTTAACAATTTTAAATGTAAACAAGCTTTTAAAGAGCCAAACTTTTACCATGTTTTCCCCGCAACATTTTATATTAACTGGCGCTGGCTTTAAGCGCCAGGTTCAATGAGCCCATACAGAAAAAGTTGTGGCCCATGTCGACAGCAATTTAATCTCCTTTTGTTGCCGTTCTTTTTATTTCTTTTCAAAGTTGCATATTTTATGACACTATTTTTGTGTGTGCGTGTGCTGCAACTGGGTGTAAACTTTCCCTGAATTCAAATTAAATTACAGCACAACGGTCAATTTGTAATACCCTAACCGAAGGCATCTTGGCACTGAGAGGATTTTGGGTAAATATCCCCAAGGAAAGCAAATAGACATCTTTGAAAAGGTAATAATAGTTGAAAGCCAGCAGACATACACACAGAAAGTGAGAGAAGAGAGAGAGTGGTCTTCCTTTTTATTACTGCTTCTTCCTTCCTTCCATCTTTTTTTTTCAATCATTAGAATCCTGGCCACAGGACATTCCCTCGCTTTGAATTTATTTATCTGGGCAAATTGTAGAAAATTAAAAAATAGACAAAAAAAAAATGCGCAGAGCAAGGCAGAAAGTTAACAAAGTGCGAAGGGGGGGGAATACTTTAATTTATTTTGGTAGCCGCAGGCAGGGAAATTTGTACGGTTTTCCGGTGGGGTTTTCCGAGATGGGGTTTGTTGGGAGAAAATGCCGCCACTTAGGCATAACTTTGGCTTTAGCTCTGGGTCGTTTTACCCATATGCTAGGCTTTCCCCAGTGCTGGCTTGTTTGCTGTTATTGTTGCCATTAATGTTGCTGACTTTGGCCCCGTTTTGGTTTTAGGGTTTTTGGAAAAATATTTGCTCTGGGTACTTGGCATATTAGCATACACGTGCGTGGTGTGCGTGTATGTCTCATAAGTGTAAATAATGGCTTTGGGAAAAAGTTTTCCCTTCGCTGATTAGGCTTACCCAATTGCTGGGTATATGCCCAATCTCAGCAGTCAATAATAAATAATTGTTTACTGCATTTCGATCTGCGCAATTGGACTGCCTAATTTCTGTGAAATTTCCATTCAATCAACTCGCCGTGAAGCCCATTAAAAAGTCAATCGGACGGAAATGCAGCACATGGCAGGTTCTCGCATCTGTAAACCGACCTTGCTCTAGTGCACTTTCTAGATGTGTCAGTATATAGAGGCATATGTCTGATCTAGAAAGAGTGAAATCTGCACTTTGTATAAACGTAATTAGACGTGGCTAAAAGTAGATCAAATTGGGGAAAAATTATTTGGGAATTGAGAGAGAAAGATAACATTTTTTGAGAATAAATAAATAAATAAATATTTAATTTGCTATGATAAACTATTAAGTATTATTTATAAGCTGTATAACAAAAAATTTATTTGAAAGTGCCACGGCCACACTGACCTAAATTGGATTTAGGATATTTGTCAAGACAAGGATACGGTCACTTTATACAAAGGAGTAAATGCGATCCGGATCGTACAGATTTATATATAAACAAAAAAAAAAACAGTTTTTAAATAGAAAAATAAATAATATCTAAAGAAAAATTAAATTTTCTTAATTTTGTAAAATGTTTTACTTATTTCTTAGAGCTTATTTTCTCAGTTTTATTATTATTTTCCCCCTCAACCACCACATGTAACCTGTTTGCTTTGTGCTATTTTTGTCGCCTGTACACATAAACATTTATCAGAGGACCAAAGTCTAATAATGTTCTGCCCCTGCCGTATGCCAATGAAATAATAAATGAAATAATCCATCTGGTGGCTGCACAAAGCCAAGAACAGTGACTGGATAAAAGCCATGGCCAGAATGATATGTGACTTTTACGGGAACAAAACTTTGGGATAAAAATATAAGAGAGATGTAAAAAATTAAAATTAAAATATATTTGTTCACATTTTTTAAATGAGAAAAAATATATATAAAAGAATAACTTGAAGTATAATTTAATTGTGTAAATTTTCTGAAACATCACCCACATTTTCATACATCTGCTGCTATTCTTCTAACCCCCACTGTGCATGCTGACATATGGATCCTGTTTGCCTGGGCTTTACATGTATGAAATCTGATATTGATTTAGAGCCGGGGGTTCCTTTCGTTTCCGCGAATAGCACAGCAGCACAATGCCAATGACAGAGCACTGTCAAGTGAGTACTTCTATTCCATCTATTACCATGCCAAACGTCATTACCGTACTTGCCAGCGAATCCGATTGCGATTCTGTCAGTCCTGAGTCTCCTGGCTTCCAGAGTCCTGGAGCTTGCTAATTGTTTGCAATTATGCTTTGAGCCGCAGCTTCACTTTGTAATGGAAACGGAACTTTGAATCAGTAGCTCTGGCACTTGAATGCATTAAAATGATGAAATATACAAACGGCCTGGGAAATGCGTTCGCTTTTCAATGGGAATTAGGTGAACCGCAGGAAATTCATGTTTAATTGAAATGCCATAAGACTTCCCGCCATATTTAGATAATTGGAAAACCGCAGAAGAGAGAGCGCGTCACAGAGAGCTCTTTAATTAATTGTAATTTGCGAATGGTGGAAATTCAGGAGGAAATTAAGTGTTAAGAGTACTGAATATTCCTGAATTTCCATTAATTATCTCATATAAGTCTTTAAGCTTTTGAATGCAGTGTCATAATGCCATAAATGTACATATATTTCATAAATTGTTTATTTTTAACATTTTCCTTTAAATTTTCCCCCTCAAAATGCAAATAAACATTTAATATTCTCCTATAAAAAACCTCATTGATCTTTTAATGCTCGAAATGACACAACCTAATGTGTTGATTTTTGCTTCTTAAATGCCAGCTAATAACAATTAAATTTAACAGCACGCGGGACTCTATTATTATGAGAACCCTTTGAAATGATTATGTTAAGTTGCTTTTGTTTATTTTCTATATTTTTTGTACCAAATGTTTATTTGCCACGCGCTGGGGCACAGGCTTATATATACCTTTACCCTGGCAATGGCAATATTTAAATTAATTGCTAATAAACCGTCATCGAATGTTTACACTTCCGTCCGACAGTCCGTCAGCGAACTGTGTGTGTGTGTTAATTTTATAATTTCAGTTTCCTTTGTTTATAGCCCCATTGCCATTGACTCGAACAAATCACTTTTACTCAGGTGGCTTCCAGAATGGAAAGGCAGAAGCAGCAGCAGCTGTGTTATTTTAGCGTCCAATGCGATGCGGGGGAATTTATGTTTTATGCACAAATATACACACCACACACACTGCCACTGGGAGTAAATAAACAAGAGGCTAGCTTGCAGCTTCGTTTGTTTTGCCAAAAAAAAAAAAAATAGCACAAATAACAACTTAAGCGATAAAGTGCTGCTAAAAGCTATTAACTATGATGTCAGAGAGCCAGATGTACTACCGATCTCATCTGTTTTAAGGTACTGAGAGAAAATTTTGGGGAATTTCATATAGTTTTAGTTGAATTTGGGGAATAAGGTATTTACATTTTATTAAATTTTATTCAGGAAGAGAGATTGAAACAAAATAATGCTAGCCGGCAACAGTCACTTCATGTCAGGAATGTTAGAACCAGTTGGGAATCTTATGTGCACACTTTTGACGTTAGGTCAAATTCGCTATGGTTTTCATGACCTTATATTAAAAAAAGAACTAAACAAAGTGAATGAAGTTATACGCTCAAAATTTGAGAAAAATAAAAAAAAAACGAACCCCAAAAAAAATTATATTTATAATTAAATCTATTAATTTACCGATATTTTAATTGTAGAAAATTTTTCTTTGTTTTAGGTAGATATTCCATAAATAAAAAAAATTTGTTTATCATTTAATTTAAAATATATTTCATTGTAATTTCTCGCAGTGTCCTGTTGCCAAGAGAATTTTCTCCACCCTTTCCATATAATCTTTAAGGATCGTAATTGGGTCGGAACTTGAACTTGGCAAGGGTATTTCGTATTTTTGGATATTCAATCATAAAATTAATTTATACATGTTGTGATTGAGTGTAAGTTTATGGCCATTGATATTTAAACAATGGGATAATTACAATATGCGAGAAGGTAGCTTCAGGTGCCTAATGGGGCAATAACCTTTAAAAGTTTCAATGAGGAATAATAATGGATATAATAGGGAATTATAAAGAATTAATTAAGAAGCAAAATTAGCTAAAGGAATTTTGATTTCTATTATTTAAATGAATAAATAATGAAAGAGCTCAAATTTAAATTCTAAATATTTTATATAAATTGTAGAGCTTTTAGTACTTTCCAGTACATTACCTAAGCATTTTCTAGATCTCAACTAAATTAAATTCCACAGCCACCTCATAATTACTAACTGCAAATATTCAAATTCTCACACCTTGATATTTTGCCACAGTTGGCCAAAGGAATGCGGTTAGAACCGTGGCATCCCTGAGGCATTTTGAGGCTTTGTGCCATACACAATGTGCATAGAAATGCAATTCAAGGCAGGCACACACAGGACAGACAACAATTATTCTTATTCTCATGGCAAATGTGGGCGGTGCTCATGGGAAGCGCTCTTGGGAAATGGAAATGGAAATGGGGGAAAACAAAGCGGAAGGCTGCCTTGCCGGGCATTATAAGGTTTTACCGGATATGAATATTTTAATTTAAAGAGTGCAGGAAGAAAAATAAAGAATATACTCGTGGGAATTGTTTTTAATTAATAAACTCTTCTTGTAATATTCTTATTTTTTTCCCAGTCATCAAAAATCAATCATAAGCTTTAAAAGTCTTACAATCTTGGTTACCTTTGCTTCACCATAAAACTCAAAGAAATATTCTTATAAATAAAGTTTCTACCAGTTTTGAGTCAACCAGAAAATCCACAAAAACCTCCAAGATATTGACGCCCGCGGTTAGGCCAAAGATTCATTTCAAGTCGAGTCAAGTAAGTTTTCAAAATTATTTCGTAAAGTGTGAACCAAATCTCATAAAATTTGTGAGTAACTTTTACTTTTCCGCTCAGAAATGAATGCTTTAAAGAAGAATTCAGTGTTAAATCAGCAATGCCTACGAAACAAGATCGAGGAGCTATCGCCTCTACTTCTCAAGCAGTTCAACTTGGGGGTTTCCAACAAGGATAAATTGTTCCAGGCCACATGGAGCTACTATGCCAGCGGCTGCCAAGAGCGACTGACGAGCATTCGCAGGCGCATTGAGCAGAACGCCAGGATAGTGGCGCCCACGGTTGGGCCAAGGACTCAACTTCACAAGAATTTGAACATATCCCTTTATGAGAGTTCCCTGCCGCCGGGCGTGAATTTGGAAGATCACATCTACAACGAGCTAGTGTCCTGTTTCCGCTGCTCAGACGAAGATCCTGCAAAGGCAAAGGTCCGAAAAGAACCCAATTCTGTTCAGCCGGAACAATGGAATTCATGGAAATGCGAGGAGCTAGAGGTGCGTCAGATGCTTAAGCAAACCAAGAACCCCTATCTCCAGGAAGAGTTGAAGAAGAAACTGCAAAAACTCATAAAACTAACCAATCGTCATCTTACAATTAAGCTACAAAGTCAGTGTGAAGAAACCAAGAAAACAGCTTTGAAAAAAACAAAAGGAAGACGTCCAGCCAAGCACACATCCTCACAGGGCAGCAAAAGCTCCTTGGTTAACCCGGAACGGGAGCATTCTAATATAGAAAGTATATTCAATAACCCCAAGTATCCTTATATTTCCAAGAGATACACCAATCCAAAATTATCCAACAATGAAAAGCCAAAGAAATTAAAGTCTTCCTTCACAAATAAATTACCAAAAATGTCAGAAGAATCTAAATTCAAGGGAGACAAGACCTCGGCTCAAGTAAAAAATAAAAAAGACTCCAACAAAAATCGCAAATCGATTCTCAAAAGTAAATCCCAAAAATCTCTTGAATCTGAGGTAAGAGAAAATAAGACCGATGGAATAGTTAAGATAAAAGATAGGAGAAATGAGGAACAAAATATAGATAAGATAACTGACCGTTTAAAGGATTCTATTAAGCTAAATAGGAAAAATGCTAATGTAGAAAACATAAGTAAACCCTCCTTGCAGACCTCATCGTCTGAGGCGAACGCCTGGCAATTATTAACTCCAGCTCTATCCTCTTTTTCATTTAAGGATAAAAGTGACAGTACCAAGTCCATCACTAGAGGTACCTTTATCAAGGATAAATATCAATTTAAACGAAAATCGTCGATATCAGGTAGAAATCGAATGGGTTCTATAAGAAAATCGAACTCCTGGCACTTTCATTATCCATCAAAGCCCAATAGGGAGGGTGTTAAACCCCCTACTCGAGATACCAATATCACAGCCTCGTTGTCGGAAAATAGTCGAAGGGGATCTATCAGGAAGTCTTACTCCTGGCACTCGCTAGATTCGGCTGATAGAGATAGGAGAAACTCCTCTACTCGGAGGAGTTATCAAAAGAGAGCCATTACGAAATCGCACTCCCGACACTCTGAAACCTATATTCCATTTAAGGCCCATAAACCCAAGAGTAAACCCTCTACTAAAGGTAAAAATATTAGATCGTCTTTAACCGAAAGTAGTCCAATGGCATCCATAAAGAAGGCCAAGAGTAAATCCATTGAAAACTACGACTGGCCACCTCCCATGGGCGTGTCACACATGGAATACTTTAAATCCTTTGGTCATACCAAGACCAAAGACCACAAGGAAAAGGAAATGTCTGTATTTCCTAAAATTGCCTTCCGGGAGGAGCCAAAACCTATCATAACAGAACCTCTTGACGAAGAGAACCCTTCGGGTGTAGGAACTCCTTCTTTGGAATCAGCGTCCCATCGTAACATGATATCTGATAGAATCTCATTTTCATATGGAAGAACCCCATCGAGTGTGATCAGTAATGAGGAGATAAAACTACCCCAACCCCTAATCATAGCCGATGTTATAATGGATTGCCTGCAGGAGTATGGATCGGAAATAAGCTTCAAGGATCCCTTCACCAATTTCATGAAACCCAATAAGCTGGATCGTTGTTACCCAGAGAAAACCATAAAGAAGCCTCAGCCTAAAAAGGTCAGGAGAGTTAAAGCCAAGGAAATAAAGCCCAAAAAGAATACGGTTTGCAAGAAAATACAAACGAAGCCATTGAAATGCGAAACCCCAACCTGCTCCTTGTGCCACATGGTGCGGCGAAGGCAGTCCGAGCTTCCACCTTATATGAAAGAAATGCAGAGGGAACGCCAGCGCCTGGAACTGAAGGCCTACTACAACCAGATGATTCGTAAGGATAATTGTCAAGGTCGTTGCCAAAAGCCAGACAACCCGAAGTTTAGTAGAGCCTGTGCGCGTGAGGCTCTGACCAGGTGCTATGAATCCCTGAAACTCTGCCAGGAGGTCCTAGAACAGAGGCTACTTAAAAGTTCGAAAGAATGTCAGGCTGGAAGATTGGGCATATGACCAGGATTTTACAGGTTAATAATATGAATATTTGGTAGTATTATCCTGTGAGAGTTTGGTCAAATGTTTAATCTAAGGGATTGTCTAAAAAGTTTTTAAAGTAGAACCTAACAATTAAGTGTCGTTGAATGTTAGAATTTTATTTAATTATAAATACTTTGTAATAAAAAAGATAAGTTTAAGTTTTAATCGAAGATTTTTACCCTAAAAAACACCTAAAATCCCCTCCCCATATCCCCTGCAGTACGTAATAAAAATCAGAATCTCCCAAGAAACAAGTAAGTGTCCTGGCATTTGTAAGCAGTTTATTTAGTTGACTTTTACGCGACCCTTAAAGTTCATTCCCACACTCCAAGAGCATAAAGTTTATTAAAAATTAACATTTGCTGGGATAAAAACGCGTTATGACGCCTGCATCCTTTTCCGCAAAATTTATTCCCAGCGCTGAATAAAAATAATAATATGCCATAAAATTTGTGTTTCAGTTTTTTCTTTTTCTTTTTTTATATATATATGTAGGCCACCAGCGCCAATTCCCTTTCCGTTGCGCATAAATGTCAATGCCAAAACGCAACTAAAATCTGGCTCTCCTCTCCGCATCCTCGGTATCCTCAGCATCCTTCGTCCTAGTGCCTCCGCAGGCTCTTCAGCACAAGTGCAGAGGGGAAGCAATGGCAACAACTACTAAAAACCGAGGGAGAAATAATAAAAATAAAAGACCTATGAAAAAAACTGGGATAAAAACTATGTAAAAAAAGAACTAAGAAAAAAATCAAAGCAACAAAACTCGGTCGAGGGCTTTAGATAATAAAAAAAATTATATGCGATATTTGGACGGTGGCTGAGGGTGATTCCCCCAAGTAGTTTCTTCTAGTTTATTAATTTTAATGCTAATTCTCTGGACAGGCAAACACGTGCGTCACTGAAATTTTATGTTTACGCCAACGCCTAGCCTGGGAAATAAAGTTAAATAATGTGAAAAGTAAGCTTAAGTAATTTTATTATAAGTTTTTATACAACAAAATCAAATTAACATGGATTTTAATTATATTAAATACACTTGAGAGTATGAATTTAGTGAAAATAAATATTTTAAAGAGGGAATTACTTAATATTCTTGGTTTATTAATTGAATTAAACTTCATTTGTTTTATAATACATTTATAGGTAGCTAAAAAAGCTTTATATTTTTATAAATCATAAAAATCCGCAATTTTCCTTTTAAAAAAATAATCCACACTTTAATGCAAATGATTTAAATCAATTACGAGCCATGAAAAAAGTAATAAATCATTCATACGCTCTGTGGGCTTGCCGGACGCCGAGAAGTATGCAACGCGGGAATTGCAAGCACGTCCAGGTGTCGACAGAACAGGTGTCAAGGTGCTAAAATGCGTTGAAGCAGCTGCGGCAGATGCCGCCGGCGACGACGAAACGACCCACACGAAGGATGTGGCGGAAATTTAAATGAAAACGGGTGGAAAAAAATAATCAGAGAAAATAAACGTTAAAAAAAAAAGGAAAAGAAAAATGTGCTATGGCCAACCTCTCATAATTGGCTCTAAGTGGCTTACTTTATTAAAGCCAATTAAGCACAAACTTCTGCTAAATGGAATTCCCCGCCAGACAAGCCATTTAACTGCAACCGAAACTCGATTAAAGTTAACGAAGAAAATAAAATAAGAAATGAAAATGAAAAATACGAATTGCATACAAATATAATTGGAAAATTGTCTAATTGGTTCAGCGCCGGCAAAGTTAACAAGCTTTGCCATCAGCTAATTAAACTTTGCAGATTAAAAACACACAGAAGAACTTCATCAGCTCAATCTCGACGGAAGGAAGTTGTAGTTTCTTCCTTTTCCTTGAAAGGTTTACACAAGGCTCCCGCCCTCAACTTCCTGCCAAGGCGAAATATTCTCAAGAAGCCTAGTAATTCATGCTTGGCGGAGTGCAAAGGGTTTGAAGTTTGGCGCAGTTTTTGGCTAAAAGGATTACACACCGAATTAGGATATTCGGTGTATGCAGAATAACAGTGGTAATTAGGGGATAAAATTAGAGGAGTTTTCTTGAATGTTTTACACAACTTTCTAAGTTTTAGCTTCTAAAAACAATTTGAGAAATATTTTCAAGATATTATCGTAAGGCTTGAGCCTTAAAAAATAAGGATTAAAAATGTATTTAAGATATTTGCAAATAAGAAAAAAAAAGTTTCAAGTTTTCCTGTTAGAAATATTACAAAAATACCATTTCGATTACTAAAATTGGAAATATTACCCTAAAAATACTACAATTTATTTTAATTGTAGTAAATAAATTTAAAAAAAAAAACTTTAAATCAAAAATATTTTCTAGATTTTCATTTCTTTTTCTAAAAATTGATATGTATTATCCTCAATTTTTCTTCATAAAACACAAAAATATTGCCACAAATAAATTTTAAAAATGTACGAAATAAAAATTATAAATTATTATTTCCCCAAACATTTAAACAGCCTTCAAATTCTCAATATAAATTCTATAAAATTGATTTATTACTCTCTCGTGCCAAACAAAAGAGTATATATCTCTATATTTATTCATTAATTCCATGGAAGCTATCATCAATGTATTTTCATAAGCATTCAACCGAAAATCCTTTTTGTTTTTACACAGAATATACCTATATTTATCTAGGAAATTCAGTGCGCTTCACTACCTACGGATGGATATAGATGTGAACGTGTTCATAACAAAAAATATACAAAAATTCCACGAATCAAATCCCTTTAATAGGTGAATCCAGAACAGAAATCGCTGCATACACACGTTAACATAATTATGGAACACACACAGTCGCTGCGGCCCAATCAATCATACGCAGCGTGAGCCGCCTGACATTTTTGCCAACGGGAAGGAAGACCAGACATGATAATCACACACACACACACAACAACAACCTTTGAAATGCAAATCGAGGAAAATTCACCCAAAAGAAAATTCAGCATACGTACTCACCTTTCTACTGCTGCGGGATGGGGGTGATGATGTGCCGCCGATTGACGATGTTTGTTGCTTGCTGCCTCAGTTGCCTGTTGCTGGTTTGTTCTATGCTGTGTTATCAAATCAAATTCAACAGAAATTTATTTGCAGGAAAACCCCAAAAATAAAAAAGTACAACAACAAACAGGACCACAAACAGTCTAGGGAATGGGAAAGAGCAAAAAGAAATGCGTAACCGTAACGAAATTTCTTGCGAGACGCGTGTCAAAAAAGAAGTTGAATTGTGAATATGTTATGCACAGAGAAAAGCGGGCTTAAATGGGGATTTTTTAAAATTTATTTTAAAGAAATTTTAAATTTAAAGATTAACAACATTTTCTTTGTACTCAAGCTCTATTTTTTTAGTTATGATCTTTTTTGCATTAAAATTCTCAACTGGTTCTAACTGCCCTTAGGTTAAAGATGGGGCTGTAAAGTTTTGCAAGTTATGGGTTTTTTTTGTAAATTTACTATTTATAAATCGGGCATTAAAATTCAATTCAAATTTAAACAAAAATCTCTCTAAATGAATTCTGATATTTCCCTTAACAACGTATTTTTCTCAGTGCCCGAAATTCATTCACACAGATACACAGCCTCTGCGATTGTGTGTGCATTACATATGGTAATTTCGTTGGGATTTCCACAATTTCTTTTTCTCGGCTTTTTTGGGGGGCGCAGGGTCAGGCCTTTGCTGATGGCCAGATTATAATCGTATTTTTCAATCTGAATTGAATTAGCTGAGATTTTTCATTTCTCTTTTTGCTCGTATTAGAATTTATGGTAGCCGCTTTAACACTTTTTTTTCTTTTTTTTTGAAATCACAAACATGTGTCGCAAAAATAAGAAATCACTGAAAATTTTTGTTTTATTAAAACATGTGCCAAAATTCAGCTTGCTGTATGTGTATATTTTTTTATTACTTTTATAATTTATGTCTTTAGGTTTCTTAATAGGATTTTTTGAATTTGAAATTCGAATTTTTCACTTGTTTTGTGGCAACAATGTTGCTGGCAACTTTCGCGCTTTTGCACTTGAACTAGTTTCCCGTTACAAGAGTTTTCAATTTTCCTCCTCACACACACACACAAACACACACAGAGGAGAAGATAAATCCACTGATAAGAGTTTTTCGCTTGGACTCGATCTAGGATCCATCCGCTATACCTTTCGCCACGTCCGACTTTCAAAGCCACTCAACAGCAACTGTTGCAAATATCGAAAAGGCAACTTGTGGCTGCTGGCTCGGCGTCTGCTTTTCCTCGCTGCCAACGCACTATGGAGTAAATTACCACTTTCTCTGCCCAAAACCAATTTTAAAATTTATTTGATGGTTAGCTTTAAAAATAGAAATAGGAAATTGATTCTAAAAATACTTGTGTTTAGTGTATTATAATATTCAAATTAATATGCATTAAAAAACCAAAAAAAAACGATATTTTTATTGAGAAAAATATTAAATCCTTAAGAACTGACGGTGCCACTATCATTTTCTTTCTTTTTTATAAAAAAAAAATGTTACTTAGTTTTAAATAATTTATTAATACCACACAAAGTGTTCTGTTGTCCCATAGTGCGCTGCGCCGTCACAGCATCTCTCTCTTTGCCGCCCGAGCTTTTCCCGACGATTTTCCCGAGAGCTTTTCCTCGCACCACGGCAAACTGTTGATTGGTCTCCGTAAAAATGTGCGGTTCCCAAGGAGGAGAGAGAGCGTGTCCAAAAAAGAGAGAGTCTATCTCGCGTGTGGCATCTCCGGGCTTACTTAGTTAATTAATACCCATTCAGACGGCAGTAAACATTAGTTAGTTGCTGTTCATGGCTTCTAATAAGACCTTAAAAATGGTATTACGTTTTTTTTCAGGGGAATTCAAGGGGTAAAGATAATTAAATACAAACAATAATGGTGTCTTTACTGGATTCTAAAATTGTTTATTTTTGTTTATTTATTTAGAAAGAAAAGGCTTTTTCCGGAAGAAGGATTGTACTCCTAAAAGGACTTTAACATTTAATGTAGTTTAAAGCTAGAACCAGTTGGGAATTCTAGTGAAACTCAAGCGATTATAAAAAAATATTTTTTAATGCTTCTATATTATAGGATATTTTTATAAAATTATAATAAATCTTTTCAACAAAATTTGTTTCCTTTTCGATTGGCAAATTTAATCGATAGACAAATCCAAATGGACAACCAACCGCCTTCTCCCCTAATTTATTTTCATTCCTGTTTATTTGCAAACGAACTCCCACAAAAGCCATTAAGACGGATGTTTACCAAAGCAACAGTTACCAATGTTAACGTGCCACACAAGGGGCATGGGAAAAGCTCCCAGTGCGGCAGAGCATAGAATATCCTCCTATTTAGAGACCACAAATAGATGGCACACTCGCAGAATTAACGCTCTTTTAATAGCTTAGGCTCACGGCAGGCACATCCTTGCTTATCGATGATGATGATGATGATGATGGTGCAACCCATTGCTGCCACTGCTGCTGCTGCTGCTGCTGAAGGACCTCTGCACCCGATCCTGACCCACACGCCAAGCGCTGACTACCGATTTTCCAATTGCCACCTTTTTATGACTATCCCCAAGTGGAGCGAGGACACACGTTTGGCAAATTTGCGGAGGCGGCAGAAGGACGAGCGAACACCTGACTAATTGATACGCTCGAGGGTGCAGAGAGAGAAAATATATGTAAATATTGATAAGGATACTTTATTTTATAGAATATTTAAATAATAATAAGAAAATAAATAATAAGCATCATGAATTTAAAGTAAAAGCAGAAAATCGTAAGTTTATTTAATGAGAAATACACCTTGATCTTAATTCTAAAAATTTGTTTAAGTTTTTTAAATTATTATTTTTTTTTACTATATTATTATTATATATTTTAGACAGAAAAAACATTTTCAAAGTGTAATTTGAAGTCATTACCTAGTTGTATTTATTTATTTCAATTTTTTAACTTTATACTTTCCATTTTCTTTCAGTGTAAGATTGACTCAAGTAATTTTCCTTCTTTGATACTGTAAAAACAATTACCTGTGTATACCTTAAATGTCCGTAGGTGTGCTTGTGCTTTCCTTGGTGTACATTAAGCTCACATTAAAATAATCACAGGGGGAGGGACGCCAGGAAGCTGGCAGGATAAACGAGGCGAGGAAAATCAAATTGAGACGTTTACTTTATTTAAAGCTGCGCCAAGTTCAGGGACGCCTCCCTTGCCACCTTTGTAAAGTCCTGTCTAACCATGTCAGGGCAAGGTTAACTTATCAACTGCCTGCGTTCGTTGACTTCGTCACACACATAGTAACTTTAATTATGCTGCAAAGCTATTTTCCTGGACTTTTCGCTTGACTAATTAAGGCATCCGTTGCGCCTGTCGTCCTTCGTAGCGGTAATCCTATATATCCTAGAAGCGACCCCGGTGCTGAGCTTCAGTTTACCGCTGGATGCACGCGCATCTGATGATGGCGCATTATTGCGACCGCGCGGCTTCAGTTTTCGCACTAATGTTTATGGGCAGCCGGGATATCCTGGTCGTAATCGTCCGTGTCCTTCACACAAAATGCAAATAGAACAGAACACCAAACAGCAAAAACAACAAAGGTAACGGCCAAAAGGAAGTACAAGTTTAAAAATTTCACAGCTGAAAACTAGTAGATGACAGCTGTGACACTTGGGTGAACCACACAGAAAGCTAGGTGATATGGAATGGGTTGGCATCACTGGTTGCCGGAGCGAAGACTCGAACCATAGACATATCCATTATAAAAGAATTTTATTTTATTATCTAATAACATTCTTATTTTAAAACAAATTTCTTATTTTATTGTTAAATGAACTATTTTTAATATCTAAACAATTTGGATTCATGCATTTGTTAATTTTACAAGTGTATTTAAGACTAAACTGCTGGCTTTTTTTAGTAGACCGTTACCCTGATCAGGGGTTTCCCCTCAGATTTTGTATTTTTCTGATAAATATTTTTAGGTGTAGGGGCTTTTTTAAAGCTTGTATTATTTACATTTTATTAAAAATCACAAAACAAAATTTCAAATCTACACAAAAAATTAACTGACTGGTGGCTAGATAAATTAAACACCTTAATTATTTTTCCCACAGCTTTTGCATCACCCCAAAGTTTCCACAACCTCGTAAAAAAATAAATAATAAATTCAGAAATAAATTAATTTTTTGAATTTAGCGGGGAACTTGGATTTTTTAGGAACACATTTCATCTTTTTGAGATTTTATAGCGAGAAAGCCAAATCTGCATCTGGCAACACTGCTAGTGTGTGTTGCTTCTTGTTGGTTGTTGAAAATACAATTAAAAATTGATTCCAGAGTATTTAAATATTCAGCATCGCCAGGTAAGTCCGTAACCGATGCAGCGGCATCTCCTCAAGCCGGAAAATGTAAATTGATTCGGCCTAGCCGCCGAATTAACGCGGAAAAGGCCGTTTGAAAAAGCGCGTCATGTTCTGGAATATCGAGGGAAATGCGTTACAATGCAATCGGTTTTTGCGAGTGCAGTTGCGGTTTGAAACTCCCAAGACAACTACTAATTTTTTCTATTGTTTTTTTTTCTTCTTCGCTTCACCTCCCACCCCCAGCACCACCTTGTTTAGCAATAAAAAAGCAGCGCGGTGGCGGCATCGAAAATACCGAAAGAAGCACAAAAAGAAAAATTTGCAAGGCACACTCAGCTGCGTCTGTGTGAGTGAGCGTGTGCGAGCGGAGCGCGCGTGTGCTTGTGTTAGTGTGTGTGCGAGTGCGAGTCTTTTTTGCCTTTGGTGCGTGCGCTGTTTTTCGAAGGGAGCCAGCCCCATCAACAAAAAAAAGGAGGAAAATTCACGTATCCGTAAACTTGCAAGACGGAGAGCGGAGACCGAGTGAAAAACAACAAACAAACAAACCCAGGACCCAGTGCAGCTGCAATGGAGAAGAGAATAGAATTGGAGCGACGCGCACGCAAAGCAAATCAGGTAAGTTCTGAGAAAAACGCGCCACGGCTTTTGTTTTGGCATTACACAAATCTTTTTCGTTTGAATTCCGCTGCGTGCCTATGTGAGAGTGCGAGAGTGCATCAACAGCGACAACAACAACTGCGCCATCATGTAAATCTAGTTTCAATTTGTGTCGACGCCATATAAAAAACAGAAGAGCTCTGGATGAAGAAGAAGAAGAAGCAGCAAAGTAACAGAGCGGCATCAACAAGAACAGAACGAAAAAAAAAATTGATCGCCATAAGCAAATTCTACACACATGCCATGGCCTCTCCGCGCCTGCTTCTGTGTTTGTGTCACATACACGCCAGTGTTGCCATGTGCGCGCATTTTTGCGCCTTCCCCCTTTTCGTGGCTTTCATCCCAAATCGGAACTTTTCCGATTTCCAATTATTACAAGTAGTCATAAGAGAAACGAAAATGTGCATAGAGCTGGTGATTTTTAGTCACCTTTGGTCGGCCAATCGCCAGCGATCTTTTCGCACCTGAAGGTGTATAAACGCCACAGCTGGCAATGCCACTGCTGTGGGTTCTTGTTCTTGCTTTTGATTTCGTCGGCGTTGTTGTTGTTGTTATTGCTGCCGGCCTTCAATTGTGACAAACACGGCGGCAGCGGCAACATGTGTTTGTGTGCGTTTGCGTCGTGTGTGTTTGCTGCATGTTGTAATTTCAGGTTATTTGATACCAAAATGTATCTATAACAACATTATAGCGCGCGGCGCGGCGCATCATCCGCACAAATACGCACAAGCGACAAACACACATACACACGGCCATGTGTTCATGCACAATCAAGAAAACTTATGCACAAAATAGTCGACACATACAAACATATGAAATTGACTGCGCAGTCATAATACTTTTATGCTGCCTCCCACCTCCCAAGTTCGCCACCTGCCTGCCCGCTATCTCTAGCCATCCCGCTCTCCCGGCCGCCGCATGCAGCGCAAAAGAAGTGCAGGCGAAAGACAAAGCCAGGCCGTCGCTACTGCCACTGATTAATAAACATGCGCTCTGCTCTGGTCGGGCCCCGGCCAGCCTACTCAATCTCAATCGGCGGTCACCCGGCCACCCAAGCACCACCCACACCCACCCATCATGCACAACAGAAACTACGTGAGCAAGGCAGCAAAACAACGAAACAAGAAAAAGAAAAACACGAAAACAGCAAAGCATACATACTCATACGCGCCTAAGCCAAAGCCAAAAGCTGTGTGCATTCATTCTCACTCATTTAACCGAGATACAGTTGAAATTCCATGGCGTGAACCGTCCCCAAAGCGATGTTCCATCGTAACTTGTAAAAATTAGAGGTTGTTGTTGGTTTCTCAAGTATCCCCTTGAATATTGTTATACATTTTAGTACTTATAAAAGCCACTTTTAAAAGTATGAATAATGACACACTAGGGACCAATAATTTAAATTTCATATCAGAAGTTTTGAGAAAAGGCTTATCAAGAGCTAATAAGGTTAAAAACACAATTTAAAAAAAAACGATCAAAGAATGGGGAATACTTTTAAATATAATTTTCAAACATTTTTTGTTACTCAATTTGGTAATAACATGTTTTTCTGATTTTTTGTTCGCTTATTAAATCAGTTTTTAGCCTGGTAACCTCCCAGTTAAGGTGTCTGAATATTTTAATATGTCAATTACCTTAAATTGACCTAAAACTTTACCTGATATCTTGTAATTACAACTTAGTTGCTCTTAAAGAAGTTCCCCTGTGCCAACATAACTGTTTCTCGGCCAGACAGAGACGGACAGACCGGACTCTCGGGGAGGCAACCCAGCATCTTGTTGTCTCGTAGTGGCAGCGTGACATATTGATAATTGGGTAATCTCAAGTGAACTTGCACAGCCTCCAACGGCCATTTATACGTTTGTAGCTTATCAGTCGGTCGCCCCCCACGCCTCTTCCCCGCCCCCAGGCACGCAGCGCAACAACTACTACGTCACGGTCAAACATGTTGTTGTGACTGCTACTGCCGGCATGTTTCGCTCTCGCTCCCACCCCCGCCCCCGAATCCATTTTGTTTGCTGCTCCTCTCTTTGCTCTCTCTTCGCGTTGCCCAATTTGCGCATTCTGCTTTGTGGCGAGGCACACGCACACATACACACGCTAGCACACAGACACACATTTTTTTCTTTGTTTCTGTTGGTTACATAAACGCGCGTTGCACTGTTCGCAGCCTCCATTTTGATGCGCAATTTGGCGAAAGTACAGCAGCAATTGTTTACCAAGTCGTTTGTTGTTGCGCCAATTTGGTTATTTAGCATGTAATGTCGATTTGAACCTCAAGAAAAAAAATTCTCGGCGTTTGATCGATTTTTGCGTGTGTATTGTCTCCATCTTTTTTTTTGCGTTTGCTTTCAGTGTTGCCAGCTGAAAATTTGGCTTTCCCCCTAAAAAATCTTGAAAACATTATCGATATACTTATTCTTGGCGACTCAACCATCGATAAAAAGCTGTTCTGTAATCGATAATCGAAGACTTTATTTTATAAACAAATTGGATTTAAGTACATACTCAAACCAGAATAGGGAACTTGGATAGGATTCAATTAAAACAATTAAAATTTAAATTTAAAGCTTGTATTCTAATTTATTATTGAATTCTATTTACACAGATCACAGAGCTGAATCTGGACAACTGCCGGAGTACAAGCATCGTTGGCCTTACAGACGAATACACCGCCTTGGAATCGCTCAGCTTGATAAATGTGGGCCTCACCACCCTGAAAGGTTTCCCCAAGCTGCCCAACTTGAAGAAGCTGGAGCTGTCCGACAACAGGATCTCGAGCGGCCTCAATTATCTGACCACCAGCCCCAAACTGCAATATCTGAACTTGTCCGGCAACAAGATCAAGGATCTGGATGCCCTCAAGCCCCTGGAGGAGTTCAAGAATCTGGCAGTGCTCGATCTGTTTAATAACGATGCCACCCAGGTGGAGAATTACCGAGAGAAGATCTTTAAGATGCTGCCGTCGTTAAACTTTCTCGACGGGTGAGGTTTCTTTTATTACTATTTTAGAGAGTATATTATACTAATTTTATAAATGATTTCAGCTTTGATTGCAACGACGAGGAGGCGCAATCCGACGGCGATGATGATGATGAGGTCAATGGCAACGATTCCGAGGAGGAAGGTGTGTATTTCGAAGGGGTTTTACTAGTTACAACGCATCTTGGCATATCAGGGAAGGATCTACCACCATTTTAATGCTCATTGTCCGTCTGCTTAGCTCTTAAATAGCTTTTCATGGGTCGCAGCTTTTGTTTAATCTCAAAAAGCAAGCTTAAATCCAACAATGGCTTCTGTCGCCTTTCAGATAAGCGCAGTGCCTTCTGTTTGAACGGTTTAGAAATCGATTTAGACGAGCTCGAGGCTCTGGAGCAGCGGGTCAAGGCCAAAAAGAGTTTGCAGAACAAGCCTCCGCCTCCACAAACGGAGAATGCAGATCAAGAAGTAGACGAATTAGATGAGTATCTGAAAGAGTTGCAGTTGAGGGAAGCCACAGCTGCCGCTGCTCCTGCTGCCGCCGTTACAACCAACGAGCAATCTGTGATAAGGCCCACCCAAAACCCACCCATAAGCTTTGCCATTCTTCTCTATTGGTTCCTGGCCATTCTCAATCTGGCCAATGCCACATATTGTAAGCATGGCTTGAATTTCGAACTTCTCTAAAGCGAAAATGATGAGGGAAGTTTCCTAAAGTATTTCTAGTTTACTTAAAAATTCTCAGCTAGAAATCAAATTTCAGGCCTTGAAAGGGTCGAAATTTTGGTCAACGAAAGCCTAAACAGTCAAATGTGTTGTTCTAAACGTTAAAATCTCCTCTCAGAATTATTTAAAATGTATCTTAAATTCAATTTAGGGAAGTTCGAGTATGAAAAGTTCTATTTAAAGCAATATTTCCTCTCATTTTTGCAGTTTCCGGCGATGATGATGACGAGGAGGGTGACAGCGATGAGAGCGAGGAGGAGGATAATGGCGAGGTGTCCTTATCGGAGGTGTACAATGACGATCTGGAGGAGGATAACTCCGATTGGGAGGAGGGCGAAGGTGCCGAGGATGATGAAGATGAGGATTCCGATATTGATGAGGCCGATGGTGAGGCAAATGAGTCCGCGGCATCAGTAAATGCCAATGACAAGGATGGCGAGAAGGCAGGCGGTAAGTTTTTTGAATAATTCAATAATTTTAAAATAATGAATTAATTCTAAATCAATTTCTTTAAATTTTCAGACGAGTCGCAAGCCCGGGGCAAGAAGAGAAAGCACGATGGTTAAAACTCTTGATCTGTCGCTGTATCGTCTTTGTACGTTATAAATTTAAATATATACAACCCACAAAACACACAAAACAACACACACACACTCAACACACACATCATATTTTGATAGTAAAGGAGACCCACAACTTGTTTCTCTAAAATGTAAGCTAAAGTGGAGTGAAAATAATACAAAATCGACGAATAACAAAACACAGAGAGAGAGAAGAAGTCGGAGCAAAATGAACGTAATAATCAAACAAACAAAGCAAAAGAGCAGAAAAAATGATAAGTTTAAGCGACAACAACCAAGAGGAACCAACCAACCAATTACTATATAGCCTCATCCCGAAACCAGAGTTCCAGTTCCCCCGTTTGAGCCCCCCTTTCACATCAGTTGTAAAGTTGCTTAGCCCTAGGTTTATCAAGTATATACATTTATAAACTGTACAATTTGTAACCCTCTTGCGTCTCTTGCTGTCAAATTTTAAAGCAAAAACACTCTTTTATTTTTTTTGTACAACTGCTGCTTTTGTCAGACGTTTTATTCGATTTACAAATATTACTGCTAAGAACTTTGAACTAACTCTTAAGTCATTCCTTCTTTTCAATACGGATATAAGTTGTAAGCAAAATCTACGCATAGAGCTCAATTCAAATCACGTTTTCATTGTTACACCCACCCACCCACAAATCTCTTATTTCCGCTCTCGTAACCGTGTTCCATATTTCTCCATACGGAAATCGTTTTCCTTTATGTATTTTTAAGAAATTTCTACCTTCACCGAAACCCAAAAATTGTTTCCACTTTTTCAAAGGCAGTAGCATGTTTTTATTTTGGGACATGATTTTTCATTAAATAAACAAAGAAAAAAAAGTAAAAGGCCCCAAAACGTTAATTTAGCGAGATGATGAAATGTGTCTGTAAGAAACCCCCCAGCCCATTGAAACTGAAATACATAAACTAAATCATTTTAAATGGTTTCTTTTTAATGGGAACTTGGAATTGAATATTTAGGGGTTATTTTTTCTTCTTTTTTTTTTACCAATTTAACTAAAAAGACTATTTTTCGATTTTTATACCCTTGCAGGTTATTATAATTTCAGTCAGAAGTTTGCAACGTATATATTCTTGATCAGCATCAACAGGGGAATCTTTCTAGATATGTCAGGAAGAAATCGATTTTTTGGCCATTTTTGCAAAATTTTTGATTTTGATAAAAAATTGGATTTTTTAAAATTTTTAAATGAAGTATGCAGATTTATTAACTGTAGAAAATCTTGCACAGAACAGTTTTCCGATTTAAAATTAATGCACTTTTGGCCGAGTTATGATATTTTTAATTTAAAAAAAATCAAGAAGTTTTTTAATATAAAAAATCCGATTTTATAATACAAAATAATATTTTTCTAAGTCAATGAACCATTTCCGACCCCATAAACCATATATTTTCTTGATCAGCATCAACAGGGGAATCTTTCTAGATATGTCAGGAAGAAATCGATTTTTTGGCCATTTTTGAGAAATTTGATAATTTACATCATTAAAATTAGCAAAAATGGCCAAAAATTTTGATTTCTTAAAATTTTAAATTTGGTATGCAGTTTTTTTAAATTAATAAAAACTAACCTAAAACTGCTTTCCGAATCGAAATTAATGCATTTTTGGCTGTTATGATATATTTTAATTGTTACCTGCAAGGGTATACAAACTTTGGCTGGCCAAAGTTAGCTTTCTTTCTTGTTTTACTATATTTTCATCCACTTTAAGACATTATTATTATTTTAGAATTTCGGTTGTAATTTTCTCTTTTTCTTTCTCCTATACAAAACTCAATTTAAAGTTTAAGCTACAAATTATTAACAAATCAGTTGATTTTTTAAAATATAACAAAAGGTTATCGAAAATATCGATAGACATTTGCACTCCTTTTGGTTTGAGTCCTTGCTGTAGCTGTATAACTTCTTTTCTCAGTATTAAGAAGTATATTTTAGTATCTTTATAATCCCAGATCCGTGTTTTGTGACCTGGTCACATTGCTTCTCAAAATCTGGCGCAAAGCAACGCAAAAAACAGGCGTCGTTTAAATGTTTTTGAATTAAATGTGACAAATCCAAGCGACGAAATGCCTGGTGATATAGGAAACCAACTGAAGGGCACGCGCAGCGATGTCGAGGCCGCCTGCCGAACTGTGGAGGCGGATTTCCGCAAAATCACGGATGGACTGCAACGCGGCGGCACAACGGACGCCTTGTATGCGCTGCGCTACGAGTTGAGTGTTTTGCGCCATATTTGCTTTGCCGTCAAGGAGAATCCCCACCAGAACAGTGATCTCTTCGGGGATATAGTGGCTGTCATGCTGCCCCACGTGCGTCCTTGCGAGGAGAAAGCCAGCCTGTGGGAGGCGCATCTCACCAGCCTGCGCTACATCCTGCATGGCCTGTGCCAGGAGGTGGGTTTCAGATTGATATCCTTGCTAGTTTAGTGGCTTATTGAAAGATTTTTTCTTGTTCCCAGCGATCTATAGGAGCCTGCCAGAGGCTGTATGGCCTCTTTCGAGCGGAACCCTGCCGCCTGCAGGAGGAAACGGACCACAAAGTATATCTGGACATCCATTTAGCCCACTTTAATGGCATCTATACACTGTTGCAAAAGCAACTGCTGCCCCTGGAGGCCTCCAGCCAGCTGTGCCAGGCCCTGGAATCCCTGGGAGAGCTTTTCGAGGCCATACGCGTGAAGAAAATTACAAAAACCGGGCCACTTTTAGAGCGACTCAATGAATCATTGTTCGGCAAGCGCAGCAAGACGTTCCACAAGTCGCTAAGCCTCCTGCCCTCTGAAAGTCTCACCAAGATGCTCGGCTCGTTACTAAAACTGCTGGCCAGCAGTTCCACCTCGGAATTGAGTAAACAATTCAGCGAGTACTTAAGCTTTATGCTGGCTTTGGTACAGATCGACATGCTAAGCCCGGAACCGAGTCCACAGCTGTCTTTGCAGCTGCTGCGCATGTGCAAGGAGCTCTACCGCCAGGAGACCAACCTTACCTACGCCCTGCAGCTGCTCTATTACTACCTGAAGCTGCTGTACGTTAGCGAAGTTACGCCCAACTTTAAACGCACCTACATTGACCTCATCAGGAAGTTTCAAAACTTTCTTGAGCTTAAGGCGGCCCCACAGGCCACGGAGCAGTGGCTGACAGACCTGCTGGTGGCCATCCAGCGACTGCAGACTTTGGTGCAGCAAAGTAGCAGCAAACTGCAGTCACCTTTTCAGGTGTTTTGGCAGCAAATGGAGGGCGAAGACAGTCCAGAGGCATATGCAGCTCACTTTCAGCTGCTAAACAGCTGTGCGGGCCTGGCAGTTAATGTAACCCGGAGTTCCTTGGCCATCAGTTGCCCTAATGAGAGCTGTACAAGTGTGCGTAGGCACTGCATGCTGGCCTTTGGCTTGTGTGCTTTGGATGCTTACATCAATTGGCAACCAATGCAGGAGCAAAAGAAGGATAAGGTGAGTCTTTGAGGCTGGATTTATCATTACATCTTCATTTATTTGCTTTGCTTTTTACAGGCTCCTCATAAACCCCTTCTGGGCATTCTCACCTTGACCTTGGATGTGGCCAAGAGCCTCAAGTGTCTGGGTTCTGGCAGCACGGAGCTGATCAAGCTGGTGCGCCAGCTTACTCATGTGGCTGATAAGGTTTCATGTCCTGAGCAAATGTCCTTGCTTTGGCATCTCCTGGGACCTTTGCAAAAGCTGAGACCCATGATTACGCATCAGGAAATGCGTGGGCTGCTGCGGCGATTGTTCAAGGCCAGTGTATATTGCAAGGATCCCCAGATGGCCGGAGGCCTATGCGCCAGCTACTTGGCTTCTATTACAAATCCCGCCCGTTTGAGGTCTCAGATTTGTACGTATTATCACCAGCAGGGCAAGGAGGAAAGGGAGATTCAGAGGTGTGTCTACGAGTGTCACGAATCCTGCCCCTTGCCTTATCCCCTGACTCCCGCCGAAAAGAAGCAACTGTACGACACGGATATGTTTGCAGTGCTGCATTATGTGAGGAGTCCTTCTGTTTCACTTTTGAAGTCTTTAATACGCTGTCGGTTGAGTGACTATCATTTGGTGCTTTTGGCCAGGCAGTTGCGCAGCGATGGTAGCATATTGAAGGAGTGCCAAGAGCTTATTGCTAAGCTTAAGGCTAGGAGCTCCCTGAACCGCCTGGATTATCTATCCCTGGGTCATGCCCATGTCAGTTTGCTATTGGAAGCCTTGGAGTCGCAAAAAACCACAGTTTCCTCTAAGGAAACAGGTGAAAATCTGCTGGAAGAGCTGCTTCTGCGGCAGAATCTATCAGAGATCAATATCCAAAGGGAACAGCGTCTGGTTGACTTGGCCAGTGAAGCCATTTTAGGCTTTAATAACTTCTTTTCTAGAGCGGATGAAGAGCCTCTAAGTACAGAGGAGACAGCCATAGACTGGGAGGTCTTGATAGACGATGCTGTTTCCGCCGCCATGGCCTTGTCCACCATGGGCTATCAGGCTGAGGCAGACCAAGCCTGGCTGATGCTTTTAAAGATTGGCAGCTTACTAGAGGATCGCTTTACCTATCTACGCGCCTTGACACACTTTTTGGCTCAGCAGAAAGTGGATTCACGCTTAAAACTCGATTTGCCCCAGGAAGTGAAGCGGGCAGAGGAAATCCTGGACGATTTATGGCCACAGCTGCCTAGTGGCAGATTCTTCAAGCGGCAAGACACCACGGTAATGCTTTGCCTATGCCAACTGGCCAGTTATTATGCCAGACAAGAGTGCTTCAGTCAGGCTCAGCTCATGCTCCTCCTGGTAGAGCAAATACGTGAAGAGTTGCCCGAACGTCTGGGAAAGAACGACATAGTCTCGATCACCCTGCAAGCAGTACGCTTTCGTTTGAGTTATGAGCAAAAGAACCCCGAGGAACATCCTAGAATGCCCTCGCCTCTCCGACAATTGGACACGCTGCAGGATAATGTGAAAAACTTTTGTAATCTCTCCAGCTTGGATGGAAGCTACCTGCAGCTGCTGCTCTCGTCTTTGGTTCGCGAAAGCACAGAATGCTCGGCCAACAGGCTAAGCGAACGACTGGCCTTCTCCAATATTGTGCTCAAGTTGGTCCTGCAATCGGGTTTGGCTTTAAGGACCATTGAGGTGTTCCTGGCCTGGCTGTGGACGAATCTACAAATGGAGAACCTAGACCGGGCTCAGTCCAAGCTGCGACTCCTAGACCACTGCCTGGGCATCAAGCGTTTAAAGCCTAAAGAAGCGGAGCCTGTAAAGAAGACAGTCCCGGATCCAACCTTGAGTGATTTGGCCAGCAACATGCAACTCCTGCAGCTGGTAGAGCCCATTAGGAAGCAACAGCAGCCAATAGATGTGGACTTGCCGAGCATACTCAGCCTACGGCCAAATAGTCCCAGTTCCCAGATTAATCTGAATCAATACTTGAACCTGAGCGAGGCTCCCTCGGTTTTACGTGGAAATTTCCAGCTGCAAAGCACCTACTTCATAATGGGTTGCCTTCATGCACGCCTCTGCTTCCTCAAGAGGGATAGCGACCAGCTGGAAGACTTTTATGAAAGCGCGGAGATCAGGCTGCAAGAGAAACCCGAGCTGAGCGCTTTCATGGGCTCCATGCTGCAGGTCCAACAGCTTTATAAGGCCCACTATCTGCGTTTTAGGGGACAGCATCTGGAGGCCATAACTGTGGCTCAGCTGGGATTGGAAACGCCGCTTCAAGCCATGGATATTGACTATAATTACAACTTTATGACGCAGATGAAGACGGCGGAACGGGAGATGATGCCTGAGGAGGAGGAGAAGGAGAAGGAGAAGGGGGTAGAGGAGGAGGAGGAGGAGGGGGAGGAGTTGGAGGAGGAGGCTGAGGCGGAAGAGGTGAAAGAGGCGGCAGAGGCAGTGCCCAAGAATCTACGAAGAGCCTTGAATTTTAATCTTTCACCGGAAAGGATAAATCAAACCCCTTTGGCGGCCAAGGATAAGGAATCCCACTGGAAGTCCGCCAGGAAGGGACTCAAATTTAAGATTTTCTCGGATTTGGAACTGCGCCCGCCAAGTTCTGACAGTAATAGTAGCAGTGGCAGTTCCAACGAGAATACTCCGCCCTTGAATTTGGACGCCTGCCAGGCGATCGTGTTAAGCGACGATGATGAGTCACCAGTTAGCTCCTTGGTCAGTTTGAAGCCCTACGCTCTAACCAAGACCACGGAGAAACCAAAGCCCTCCATCTTACCCAAGACCACGGAGAAATCAAAGCCCTCCTCCGTACTCCCTACCACCGAGAAAGCAAAGTCCTCTGTCCTAACAAAGACCACTGAGAAACCAAAACCCTCCTCCTCTTTAGCTGAAACCATCGAGAAACCTAAGGCTTTTCCCTTACCCAAGACCATCTCCTCCGCCCTTCCTATCACTGAGAAACCAAAGCCCTCCTCCCTAAGCAAGACCACCAAGACACCAAAACCCTTATCTCTACCCAAGACCATCGAAAAACCAAAACCCCCTTGCCTACCCAAGACCACTGAGACACCAAAACCCTCCTCCTCCTTGCTCCCAACCAGCGAGAAACTAAATTCCAAAGCCAAATCCAAACTCAACATGGCCATCTATGTGGATGATAGTATGGAGGAGGCAGCAGCACCAACGCCATCACAGAAAGTCACCGGACGTAGCACCAGGACAGCAAGAGCCACCAAGCCACCGGAGGAGACACCAAAGACTGCGGCGCCCACTTCCAGGAGACTCCGACGAGCGGTGACAGTGCCGGAACCAGAGCAACCCACAGAACCGGAGGCCACAGTCACGGGCACACGGAGTCGTAGGAAAAAGTGACTTGGAGACTAATTTACTTAGTTTGTAAGTTTTTTATTGAAAAAAGTGAGTTTTTACCTATATATATAGCATTATTTTGAAATATATAGTGTGCTAAGAAATTAAACAACTTTCGGGGAAGATCAACGGGGCAGCTGGAGGGGCATTAGTGAGGTCCTGCAAATGTCCTGGCTCCAAAAGCCACGCTGTATGCGCTGGCCATCATCCTTGTTGCCATGGTAATACACTCCGGAGCCTGATTTGCAGCCATCTTCAAATTGACCCACATAGCGATTGCCATTTGCTATTGGGGGGGCATTTTTGGAATAGAAAGAAAAAATCGATTTTATATCGAAAAATTATATAAAAAATCGATTTTATATCGAAAAATTATAAAAAATTGTATTAAAAATCGATTTTATATCGAAAAATTATATAAAAAATCGTTTTTATATCGAAAAATTATAAAAAATTATATAAAAAATCGATTTTATATCGAAAAATTATATAAAAAATTAGTCAAAAGTTTGTAAACGAAAATTAAATGCTTTCAAGAAAGATAAACCTTAATATTTCATAGCGTTTTTAAGTGGATTTTTGAAATTGCAATTAAATTTCTTTGATAAATCTTTAATCATAACTCACTTACCCATAAAAAGCACTCCTCTGCCATGCATTCGATCCAGTAGCCACTCTCCCACATAGACCCCACCATCGGCCTGCCACAAGATGCCCTGGCCACTGCGTTTATCCGCCAGCCACTGGCCGTAGTAAACCGAACCATCCGGATAGAATTGCTTGCCCTCGCCACTCCGCTTATTCTCCTCCCACTGACCCACATAGACGCGTTGTTTACTGCCATTGGGCTTCTCCTGTCGCAGAGTGCCATAGCCATGCCGATGGCCATGCTGCCACTGGCCTTCGTAGACCAGACCGCATCCGGATTTCTTTACGCCATAGCCATGGTGTTGGTTGCCCAGCCACTTGCCCTGATACCTGCCACGGCCATTGCCCCCGGGATAGCGTTGGCAACGAACACCGGAACTATAACCACTTGCCGGGCACGACATGTCCTCGATGACTGAATATAGAGGAGCTAGAAACAAAAAGCAAGAAGCTAGGTGCCCCCTATGTTATCATCTTGCGGTGGCTTTGGTGCCATGTGGTGGCTGTGTGCGTGCGGTGTCACTTTTTCTAATCAAACCGAAGCCACAAGCAGCATGTCTTGCCACCATTTGACTCTCTCTTGGGTTAGGAGAAGGGACAACACGCAACCCTAAGGAGGCCAAAGACATTGCCTCAATAGAAAATCGTTTGTGCTGGTTATGTAGAGGAAATTGTTTCATTAGGGGTATAAATTACAAAAGGGAAAGCTAGTTAGCTAGAAGAGAGTCTTGTTTGAACTGTTTTAGGTTGAATTCAAGAAACCCCCTTAAACATATATAAAACATTTATATAAAATATAGTTTACTCATACAATATAAATTACAGCGCAGTTTCTTTCGCTTACATAATTGGCCTAACATTAAATTAAGGGACTAAAAGACAATTTCGAGTTGCCCGACAAAACTTAAACTTAAACAATTAAAGGGAAGACTGCCAAGGATGTGATTCATACAAATTAAAAGGAGACACAATAAATATACATACATATATGAGCTAATTTCTGAGGAATATTCATCGAACAAAATAATGTTGCTCCCAAAGTATTGCTTTTAATTAGGGTCTTTCGTCAGTGTTGCCATCGAATACAGTTCGCTTTTAAATATATATATATATATAGTTATAGTAAAAATCTACTGCCTTATGCGTATCACAATTTGCATCAAACTACAAATTTACAATATATGGAGGCTAGAGCCCTGAGCCGCAAAAATATATGTCTTTTAAAGCGCCGCTGGAAACCAACCAAATCACCGCTAGACAATGTCTCCAGATGCTCCAAACTGCATGCCATTATTCCGTATGTTGTTGTGATGATCCAGATGATCCTGCTCCATCTGCTCCTTAAGCATTTCAAGCTCTCGGATCCCTGACACCGTCACCTCGTACTTGTGCGTCACCAGCGAACGGTAAAAGTGTATGGCAAAGGCCAGGAAGATGATCATCACCGGGATGAGCACAACACAGGCGGACCATGCCGCTGGCGGACTCAAGTCGTAAAACTTCACCCAACACAGGATGGCAATCTCCAGCAGGAAGAGTATCAATCCCAGCAGCGTGGAAAATGCCCACGCCGTCTCAATATACCAATGAAGCCTTTCATGCGGCGATTCATGCACCAAGGAGATGCTGTGCAGATTGCAAACCGTCTCGATGTTCGGCAGGATGCAGGTGCTGATCATCAAAGCCAGCATGTGCACGGCCACCAGGAGGGTGGTGCAAATGGCAAAGGCCACCAGCATTCCCCGCGGGACCTGTGTATCGTGGTCCAGTTGCACCTCCACCATTGCCACCTGTCCATCCGGATTGAAATAAGAAATTCGTCATTAATTGTTACTTATTAATTTGGAAGAAGAATCGAAAATATAACCCGACATTGCCCCTATTATTATTATTAGCTATTTTCTTAAGAGAGAGAGAGAGAAACACAGCGAGCACATTTTGGCAACTAAGCATTAAAATTGCTCCTCTATATTCTATGGGCTAATTTATCAGATTTCCGCCGATGTCCCTACCTCTCTTTTTCTTCCCATTTGCTTTAGGTGTACATGTGGAATGTATAACAATTTAGCGGTCCCAGAAATGGACTAATGAATACCTCGTCACCTAATTAAAGTGTCTCATTAAAATAATACATCAATGTAGCTCATAAAATCATCTATAAGTTAGATCGTAAAAAATTATTTATATATGAGAAAATTATTAATAATATTAGGGTTCTGGGTGTAGGATCTGCAAGTTCTCTTTATAAATATTAAATATATATTTTAAAACTAATTATAATATCGATAAATATATATTTTTAAATTTCTTAAGCAAAAACTTTTATATTTTAATTCGAATTGGATTATTAATGAACATAATTTTTACACATTTAACAATAAAAGGTTAAAAGTTAACGAATTTTAAAATAGAAGCCCAAAATTAGCCTTAAAATTATTATATATCTTGTCTCTGTAGGAGAAATATCGATTTATCCATACTGTATCGATAAAGTGCGAGACGCCAAAGTCTATATTAAATCGATTTTTAAACGTTTGCGATATATGTGCGATAAGCCGATGTTCTGTTTGATATATAGTACCGAAACAATCGGAAAAAGACTCTTATAAATTAAAAAATATTCAAATAAAACATATATATTTTAATATTAAATTCTATCAATAAACTCTTTATATTTAAAGTTTCGATATATTTAGGTGTACAATTTTTCGATATTATCACATTGAGGCTTTTTCTTTGCTAACTCAATCATAAGGTTTAACTAGTCTATTAGAATTAGTTGACGCCATTCACTAAAGCATAATGAAAAAAACTAAAGGTAAAGGAAACCCCCCATCAAGATCATAAACAATATATGGGAATCTGTCATTGGATACCTTTTGAAAAGGCGGGGAATCCCATGGTATAATCTTGATCTGCCTCCCTTGAGTATTTCCCTTGCCCCAACTGCCTTTACATTCATAATAACGAAAGCCCAATCTACCCGTGATTAATGGGTAAAAAAACACAAAATAAAAACAAACAGCTAACAGACTTGTTTCCCCCAAGACAAAGATAGTGCCAATAAATACAAACAAAACAAAAAAGAAAACACAATTTTTGGCCCTCAAAGAGGAATTATGTTGAGCAGGTATATAGGAAAGTTTAGACACTTAATTAGTACAATTCTTTCACATACTATTGAGCCTGTCAAGATTGAGAATTACTTACAAGTAAGTCAGCATTCAGGCTGCCCACTCGTATGGAACAAATTACAGATTAGATTTCGTTGCACACAAGTCTCTGGGTCAAGCCAAGTGGAACCCTGTTATTAATATATTAAATATATTACTATAATTATTATATAGTTTTGTCTAGGCAGTGTATTTTTTATTCGTTGACTTTTTATAAGAATTCTTCGGATCAAAAACAAACACTAGGAATAGAGATAAAAGAAATTATGTGCTTTCTGCCAGACATTTTTTGACCCTGCACATTAAGTTGGTTTAATGTTAATGTTTCTTTTGAATTATGCACAGCGGAGGATCAAAATATAGTTACTACAAATTATTTAGATGGTTAAATGTTTCATTTAAAGAGGTATATTTTTTGAATTATTGTTTTTAACAATTAAAAGAGTTGAGTACGAGGTAGAACAATCTTGTACAACTATTTTTTTTAAGGCAAAAGAAACATTTTTGGGTGAGGTTTGAAAGAATTTAGACTGAAAACTATAATTTATATGTATAAAAAATAAGTAGAATAATTTATTTTCAACTAATAAAATGGTAAAACTATAATTATAATTATAATTTAGAAATATTAATTATTATTCTACCATTTTTTTTAGTTGTAAATCAATTATTTATAAATTTAAATGTTTATTTATAATAACTAAAATCATTTTGATGATAAGAGTCAAAAGTATTGTCCCTTAAAAAACTAAAAAAAAACATAAAACGATTTTTATATAAATATTAAATAACTCTAATATCATAAATAATTGTTAATCCACTAAAAGTTAATATATAAATTATATTCTTGCTCAGTTTTTATTAAAAATCTGTCCCACTCTAACAAATATTCTTTCCTAAAAAAACATTTTCCCTTTCAAAAACTAAAATGTAAAATATAATAACCTAAAACCCTTGAAATGTTCTTAAAATGTATATTTTAAAATTAAAAAACTCATTTAAAACCTATATTTCCAAGGCATACAACTGATTATTTATCGTATTTTTACCCCCTTTTAACTACACAAAGAATTACTCACCATTGCAAATCCCGATAGCAATGCGGACGTCTTGCTGGATGCCTTGAGCTTGGCCCGGCTCAGCTGCAGCTTGCGCCAGGATAGATAGGTGGGCGAGTGTAGATCCTCGCCAGACTGCGACATGCTGCTGCTGGCGGTGCGGTGGTGGCCGCGCGGCTGAAAGCGGGAGGATTGATTCTGTTGGTAGGTGCGCAACTGAAATGGCGGCGGTGGCGGTGGGACAGCGAATGCGATGGGGGACGGCGATGCTATGGAGGCAAGTGGTGCGAGTGGTGCTAGTGGGGCTACTGCGGAGGCCGAGGCGGCCGCTAATGCTGCTGCTGCTGCTGTTGCGAATGCCGGTGAGACCTCTCGCACAGCCGAAGCGTTGAAGCGTCTCGACTGCGGGGAACTCGAATTGAACTGGCTGTGGTAGAGGTACCTACTGCTCGCTCTGAGATTCGCCAGATTGTGAGCGTGCTGCTGCTGCTGCTGTAGCTGCTGCTGTTGTTGGAGGTGACTGAGGTTCGGATTCAGATTCGGATTGTGGCCGAACTCGCCGCCGCCGATGCCGCTGCCGCTGCTTGTCGGTGTGGCTGTGGCAGCTGCCGTATAGGCATCCACGCTGGCCGCCAACCTGGCAGTGGCATGCAGAGCACTCGCCAAGGCCGATGGCGGCTGCTGCCGCATCCCATATCGTGTTGTTTGCTGTTGCTGCTGCTGCTGCACCTGGTAGGCCAGGCGCCGCGACACAGGCACTACGTCCAGGGTCTCGCTGCTAGCGGTTCGCTCGGTGGGCGTGTCAAAGGAGCTCTGCTGGTGGCTCAGCAACAGGTTGCTGTGGCTTAAATTGGCCCTAGCATAGCGTAAGTTGCTGCTCATCATTGTGTGGGTTTCCGTCTCCGGCAGCAGGTGCTCTTCCTCATGCTCTTCGGCCGGCGGATGGGCCGCTTCAGGATCGCCGCCGACCACAGTCTTCATGGCTCTCTTGCGGCGCGGCGGCTTCAGAGGTATCTCCTGCTGGTGCTGCGACTGCTGCTCCGCGGTTTGTTTCTGATCCTCTTCGAAGGGTGGCATGGACTGCTAGCCCGAGCTTTGGTTTTTCTTGGCTTCAAGAGATCGTCTTGGGTATTTATGCAAGCCAGGTTTAGTTTCAGATGTGGGTTGTTTTTCTTTTTTTAATTTAAAGTCTTTTCTTGCTTAAATTTTATAGATTTTGGTATTTGCTAGTATTATAAGCTTAGTTCACAGTTCTTAAAAACTTATTTTGGATTTACAAGTACTATTATAAGCCTTGATTATTCTCTAAAAGATCACTCTCTTGTATTTCTTTTTAATTAAACAATCTCCAAAAATGTTATTTATTCATAATTTAATTTCAGTTCAAGAGTTTCTCATCAAGCAGTCTCTTGGTTTGTGTCTCATATACTGTCCAAAAATCTTAGCTTACTTTAATTTTTAGCTGTTCAACTCCAAGATCACACCTTAGCACCCACTATTTAATGGGATTTTACTTTTTTTTTGTAACGCTCTCTGTGAAAGTTGTCTCAAGCGATCTGCTGATTTCGAATGCCGGGCATATGCCTGGTGTATATATACATTAATAAATAAATATTCCATTGGGTCATAAGGTTCGCATGTTGGTTATCGACGACAACGCCCTGTCTCAATTATGCGCCAGTTTATTATAACGACGACTTCACTTGGCTTCACTTTGCAGCAATTTAGATTGATCTTTGTTATACATTTATTTGAATAATTTTGTTAAATATTACTTTTTAGGAATTCATTTTATTACTGTTGATCTTTTGGGGCTTTTCCAAGTAATACTCTCCGTTATCGTTGGGACTTTTCAAGGTTCCTTGATTCACCAAACAAAATGTAGCTTTAAATCTTTATTGAAAAAGCCGCAATCGCGCAATTCTAGAGCCCGTTTCGCCACTTGTCACACTGTGTGTAATCTCGTTGTTGTGTTTTTCAGAATTTAAATTCAAATTCAATTTTTGTTTCCCCAACAGCAACGACGACGACGGCAACAACGACGATGATGACTTTTTTCGTGTGGCTTGTTTTATTGGGTTCCGTTTCACTTGGTTGATTTTGCAATGCTTCGCATTGATGATGATGATGCTGAATAATAGTACGAGTATTGTTTTTATTTTGTGCAGTTCCTGAGACAGCCGACCGAGTGTGTTGTTGTTGTGCACATGACAATTGATCGGCAATTACACACGCACGCGGAAAGTTTCACTCGCTTTTCTCACTATTCTCAATCACTCTCTCTCTTCGTCTGGTGATAATATATATTTTCTGTTTCGGTGTGTGCGTTAAAATAATATTTACTTTTTATTTATAAACATTTTATGAGCTTTATAAAATGTAAAATAAAACGGTTGCAGGCACTTGTTGCTCTGTGCACAAGGCCAACGAAGATCGAAGACTGGTACGGGGTACTTGAACGCTCGAAACCGACTAAAAAAGCCGAAAAACCAAGAGCACCGCAGTGACACTTCCGCCAAAAACAAAAAAATAATACAAAAACCAAGAAGCACGCAAGAAATCGGAATCGAAATGTAAAACCTTTGCGGATTTTCTGTTTTGTTTTTGTTTCTTAAATCAGGTGCTGCACACACTCAGTTTTGCCGTTCGGTATTTCGTTTGGTTTTCGCGGTTTTTCACGCTTTTCGCGCCTCTTGTTCCTTCGGCGATGGCAAGTTAACAACTAACTGATACGGCTCTGCCCGCAGAACACCGTGGCAGAGATACGGCTGAGCACAGGCAGAGCAGCAGTGGCAGTGACGACGACGACGGCGACGGCGACGACGTATTCAAATTCGACAATCAATTCTCGAATGAGGCGGCCTGCGATGACACAAAAAAGCAACAACAACTACAATAGTGGCAATCGAACTACGAAACAGTCAGGCTTCTCGAAGAAAGGAGCTTTCAAATTTCTGAAATTTCGAATTTTTGAAATTTTTAATACGAAAGAAAGTTCGAAATTGTTAAATTTCTAACTACAATAATTCTAATTTGTAAAGATTCGAAATTTTAAAGGTTTAAGCATCTGAAATTTTTATATTCTAGAATTAATTGTCGGGTTTTGAATATTTTTAAATTTAAAATAAGAAAGAAAGTTCGAAACTTAAGAAATTCAAACTACAATTATTCCAACTTTGTAAGTTTCGCAATTTTAAATTTGTTTAAATTTTTAATCTGAAGGAAAAATTAGAATTTCCAATTATTTAAGAATACATTTTCCATTTTACATTTAATATTTCAAACTATAAAATTTTTTAGATTTATAGTTTAATTTTTTATTTAAATTTTTTTAATTTGTTAAAGAATATATATTTTTTTTAATTCTAAAATTGTAAAAAATTTAAAAAACTTAAAATGCGAAATTTTTAACATTTCAAATTTGAGATATCAATTTAAAAAAAAAAACTAAAATTAATCAGCTTGAAAAAACAACTAAAGCGTAGGTTAAAAATGTTCATTTTATGTTTTATGTTCATTTATTACTTAAAAATTCTTTAAATAACACTACAAAAAATTCCTTTCAGAGAAGCTTCACTGTAGAAAAGCCATTTGAATGAAAGCATTTAAAGAGAGAGCGGGAGAGAAATAGAAGCAAAAAGAGAGCGCACTACTAGACAGGTAAAGAATCGAAAGAGGCGAAAGCAAAACTACAGGAAAACAAAAAAAGTATCGAGTGGAGGTGGGCGTGGGAGAGGGGACTACGTGGGGGCTGATTTTGGCAATCGATCAGCGATCATCGACTGGTGAATGGGGAAGACAAATTGAGTGATTAAACACACAAAACGGACACACATCGGCACACTTAGAGACCCTGAACTTCAACTATTGAATTTAAGATTCAATTAACAAAAAAAAAAACTACCACTTGACCCCATCTACGAACTCATAAGCGATCAGGGACACGAGTACCACAGTATCGTAGGTCATCTTATAGTAATCGTGACATGACGTGGCCTATATCTTATGGTTATCTCTAATTTAAAGGTAAGTGTCATGCTTAATTTTATTAAATAAATTCATGATAATGCTTTTAAATGCTTCTAGAAATTGTTTTCCTTTTATGACTTTCTCAGTGGAATGCGCTTTAAGATTTATGTGGATGCAACTCTCGTTTGTGTATAATAATCGACGCATATTTACGTGCTTATTTGGCATTATTACAGCAAATCAGGTTATTTAAAAATAACTACTATAAGCACAAAGCGTACAATTAAACAGGTGACATTAACTCTTAACTTTTAAATTTGGAACTACGTTTGAATTAAGCTGAAAAGACAACTTTCTCATATTTGCAAAAGGCTAAACACCTAAACAATGACCTAAAACAGATGTTTTGAGCAGATATTATTTTAAAAATAATAGAAAATACTACAACAAAATCTTAGGAAAACTATAAAACTTCGGAGTTATCAAAAATAAAGTAAATAAATAGGTTAAAGGTTCAAAATGTATTTGTAATAGCTTCAAACTATAAAAAAATATAATCAAAGGATCATTATAAGACGCCTCAGCCTGTAACTGATTCATAACTCTATGAAATCGAAAGTGTTTCCTTTTTTTAAAAACACTTAGACATATAAATCTGGTTAATTTTAATTATAAAACCGAAATGTCAAGCGGAACAAGTTCATTTGGAGATTCCCCAGCCGCCTGCCTGCCTGACTTCCTCCAGAGAAAACCAAAACGAAGTCACTTAACACAAAAAAAAATTCGAATAAAAATAAGTCAAGACGATAAAGAAGAAACGGAAGGTGTCAGGCTGGCGGTTGGTGTTTAATTTCGCTCCAAAATTCGTATGCAAACACACACCTGGATTTCAGAGACACCGCCCCAAGGAGCAGGCCCATGCCCGTGGGTGGATCGGGTGTGGGTGTGTTGTATATTTTTTTATCGCCGGCGAAAATGTGCAAATAAGACAGCGCTGCGATAAGGGAACCCAAAAGCGGTTCTCCGCGAAGCCAAGCAGACGCCGGTTCTACGCCATTCCACTTCAATTTCCATTTACAATTTCATTGTCAGTGTTGTTGCAACAACAACAAAACAAAACTAAAATAAAAAACAATGTTCAATAATTCAGCAGGTTCACCAGGTAACGCAGTCATGTGTGTGCTTTCGCGTGTGTGTGCCAGAATCTCGTTCGACTTGAAACTTAGGCCTTGTTTGTTTGTCAGAATTTTCGTTACTCGATCGATTGGGCGCATTCAGCAGGGGATTTGCGAATTTATTAAGGGGAATTATGTGATTTATAATGAGGTCTTTAACCACTTGAAACGAGATTTATTTATTACCATTTTCGGGCAGGAGCATGGCACATAACCAAAACACTTGACATGTTTTTAAGGGATCTCCAAAATAATTAATTTAATTTATATAACTTGCCCCCTTTGCTCTTTAATAAAAACACTTTTGTTGCGACTATTCGAAAAATGCACCTTGCATAAATGATTTTGTAATGTTTCTAGTTCATATCGCTTTTAGATACCTAAATATAGATGCAGCTAAACGAATTATGTAGAATGTACAAATTATATCTGACAGCCTTCTCAACAAATTGTCATTGTTCTTTCTTCGCTCTATTTTGATTAAATCTTGATTGAGAAATATAATAATAAGGACTACAAGATGTTCAATTTTAGTTGTAGATATCATTTCTAAACAATTGATTTATAAAGTTTTAAAAAGCATTTCACTAATTGAAATAAATAAACAAAATTAAAACATTTTCGAAATTATACTGCGCCTGAAAAGTAACAACTAAGAAATCACAGCTTAGATCACAAACCACCCACCAACTTTCTCTGCTGAATGCGCCCTTTGCCAAATCTTCATATTGAGAGAGAGAGAGAGAAAAAGAGAAACCACCAAGAGAGAGAAGTCTAGAAAATCACAGCTCAAATCACGACTTCACAACGACTTTCTCTGCTGAATGTGCCCATTTTCCATAGCATCGCTTTAAAAGGTGAGAAAGAGACGTAAGGATGAAGGGGTGTGTTCGGGGGGGGAAATGGAAGATACCGAGATCGGAGATTGATTTGTTATTGGACTTACCTTCGCTTGGTTCTGGGACGACGGCGGCGGCGGGGGCGGGTTCGACGGGAACTGCAGCAACGAATTGCTCAGACTGGAACGCTTGAATCCGGCGCTGTTGTTGCTGTTGCTGCCGCTTCCAGTGGGACTGTTGCTGTGATGCTGTTGCGGATACTGCTGCGGGAACTGGTGGCCGGTGGCCACTGAGGTGGCTGCTGCAACGGCGGCGGCGACAACGTGCTGGAAGTGGTGCTGCGTGGTGGTGGCGGTCACGATGGGATTCGGGTTACGTGAGCCCCTGCCGGGGGGTTGCCTGGAATCGGGCGTCTTCGAGGGCGTCTCTAGGCCACCGGAGTTGGCCGTGGTCCACACAGACATCTCGGAAAACCAGCAATCGGCTTAAGTACTGCTCCGCCTGGGGAATCCATGTTGGCGTAAATGTCAAGCAGAACAAATAAACGAAAAACGACAATTAGCGGGAGCCACAAAGTTATGGAAGAAGGTGTAAATTAAGTACAAGCGGCGAGGCGAGTTTTGAACGGAAACTAAACAAAAAACAAGTTATGCCATTTCGTTTTGTTTTACTTTTTGCTATCGATAACTGCGGCCCGACTCTAAAGAGTTGGCAGTTCTGCGACTTGTGAAATTTCCGCAAACGATCCGGTACTTTTGGTCGCTCTGACCGAAAAGTCTGGCAGCACTCCCATTTTCAGAAAAATATCGATATATTGATGATCTGGTACTTTTGGTCGCTCATGGCACGAGCGACCAGCGTTGCCAGATCGCCAGTGAACGAGCGACCAAAAGTGCCAGATCGTCAAATATCGCGGTTTCACGATAAAATATCGATATGTTGATATATTTATCGACAACCCGGTTGGCAACGCGTGTGAAAGGAGTTGGCAGTTCTGGCGAAATTCGTGTTGACGGCGGGAAAAAGTGAAAAGTTTTCGGTTTGTGCGGGCAATTTACGCGTCGAGTGGTGAAAAGCCGGGTAAGTGGTTTGCTATTTACTACCTTGCTTTGCCAAACGCGGTCATGGCTAGTGACTAGAAAGGCAATTAATCAAACGCCCCCTGTACATTTACCCGAAACTGCGAAGCCCTACTGCATCCTACGCTCTGACACACATCTTAATTTGCCATTGCTGCGCCTTGTCCGGCGTGTATCTTTGCTTTTCTCGATGCTTTCGTTTTGTTTTGCTAATTTCCTTTCGCATTCTTCCGGCGTAGGCGAATTATTTATTCTTAACTTGCTAAACACATACACACACATACGGATACTTGTGCTGCATTGCATTTGTCGCTCATTCTTCTTCATTCTTCTTGTGCCTGCCTTGAACTTGCCAATTCGCCATTGGTGCGAAGAGTGCAGAAGTACTCGTGTAACGGTGCTCTGTGTCTTTGGTTCCTAGAACACGCACACACTTGCAATTGTTTGGCAATGGCTTTCTTGGCTTTTCCATTCCCTGTATCTTTATTAACAGTTGCTTTGCTCTGTTTGGGAATTAATTTTACCTCCCCTTTTCCTATCAATAGATAAGGCGAGTCATGTGCCGATGAACAGACCTAGGTACCGTTATCTATTGGATATGCCCAAAGCTCAAGAACTCACGTATTTGCATAGCAACTATCGAGGCCAACTTACTAGGATCGGAATAAGTTATTGTTTAAGAGAATTTAAGTAACCATAAAGTATTTTAAGTAATGGCAAATATGACTATTTTATCAGTGGAAAAATTTGTATTTTATTATTATGTTTATTAATTAAATATTATTAATTATTATTTATTCATTTATTATTAAAGTTCCTATTAAAAATCCTAGTTATGTAAGTTATGCCAAGTTAAGTGATGTGTTTTTTAATTTAAGTATATTCTCTAAAAATATATAAATATAAAATACCAACTATTTTAGATTGTAGCATTGCGTAGCATACTTTCCGACATCTCCTTAACTTATTAAAAATCCCATACAGATAGACCTATTAACCCAACCTCGACTGTCTACGGACGTATTAGCATTTCCTTGTGGGCCGTGCGTCGCCTTCAAGGTGTTACAAATGTGCGCAAATGGCATTATCGGTTATCAGGCGGGAGGGCTGCTATAGAATATTTGTTTGGGTCAGAACCAGAACCCTATAATAGCGAGTAAATAAAAAATATAGACTGCGAATGAGGTAATTTGTGGTGCACCATGTTTTCCATGCCCTGTCGCCGTGCTACTGTCGTGCTGCACTCGTGAATGCAAACAATTGCGGGCAATTGAAATCAATAAGCGATCCGATCTGAACGATCCGAGCAGACTTTGTAATCCCTTCTGGAAACTCTTGACTCTCGGCTCCCAGTCGATATGTTTTGATTGTTCCTCAGCGCCTTAGGGGCATCGAAAGATGCCAAGTCATTGGCTATTAATAAGACTGTGCTCTGAAAATTGACTTTCGATAAGAAAAAAAAAATACAAAAACTACAAAAACTAAAAAACAAACAATGCAAAACCGCCATGAATGTGTGTCTTTGGGCTTCGGGGTGTACACTGTACATTCATAGTGTATGTAAATATGTACTTATATCGCAAATGAATTTGTTCAACTACAACATATAGTATGTACATAAACAATCAGACCATTTGACAGTATGACGCAGATTTCTAATTTTGGATTCAAGTTGGAGAAACAACAAGTTCCTGGAAGCGAACTCAATGGCACTTGAGAGTTTCGAAATCTTTTGAGAGCCATTCCCTTTCTCAAATGATCTTAGAAGGGTACGTTTAAGACTTTGGGAAACTATAAGGTTATATGAATAATTTAAGAGGTTTATTAAGTTAATAAATAATAGAAATGCCCATCCCATCTATAATAAAATAAATAATAATAGATCTCTTATAAAAACCCCCAATAAATAAAACATGATCAGTTTACAAATAAAATATCATCTTTAATGCTTACTTCAACTGGCAAAATATAATAAAAAATAATGGATTGGTATGTACAATAATACACAGTTACACAGCTAAGTACGCGGCACTTTTAGGGACTAATGGACAAGACACGGGACAATCACAGGGATCCCCCAGGGACCCCGCTTGGCAACAGTAGCAGCAGTTCCAGTTACATAATGCGTCCTCTATTTGGCTGACTAATCTCTACGGACTACGGAGTATGGCGGCGACCCACTACTGAATAGTGGGCTTGATAGAGCCCATCGAGTTCTTCCTCTGATGATTAACCTCGAAGCGCTTCATGATGCTGGCCACGATCGAGGAGGGCGGCATGTCCGGGTTTCCGGTGAGTCCCCGATACCCAAGGACACTGGAATCGGCCAGCGAACGGGCCAGGGTCAGTCTTTGCACAAAGGCATCGGTATCGATTCCAGGAACCTGGGATGGTTTCAGAAAACGCCGCGGTATCCGGGACAGCATATCCTCGGAGCTGAGTGGACCAAAGCCCAGGTTGATGAGTATGGCTTCGGGATCGGGCTTACGGGCCTCCAGCAAGCTGTCCACGCTGGAGTAGCGACTAGAGTCAGACTGCACGGACTGCACAGAGCTGTCGCGGAGGAGCAGGCTACTAAAGCGCTGCTGTCGCTGGGCCTGTGGACTCAAATCTGGAGCAGTGCTACAGGATTCAAAGGATTCCTCGTGGTGCAGGCAACGGGTACTAGAACTGCTAGTGGCGGTCAAGGCGGAGATGTGGCGCAAGGGCAAGGCAACGGCGGCTAAGTTAATCTGCGGATCTGGATCTGCATCCTCCTCCAAGTCGGCGGCATACTCCAGATCATCGGCATCAACGGCGGACTGTTGGCGCTGCAGCTTTCGGCGTCGTCGCAACGGCTTGCTGGGCGGAAAGTGATGGGCCGTGGGCAGGTGATCACTGCTACCCGCCAGCTCAAGCTCAGCTGGGCCAACGGCGACCTTGCTGGTTCTGCCCTCAAAGTTGCTGCAGCTGTGAGAGCGCTCCATAGTGGCGTGAGTGTGGTGTTGGGTGTACGAGTAATATGGTGGTGTCGTATGAGTTATCTGCGGTCACGGCTGCTCGGGTTACAAGCTCTACTTGGACATATTTGGCAGTGGCCAGAATCAGGGCCTCCGACTGACTCGCGCGCTGAGTCTCCTCACATACAAAGCGCGTGTGTTCAATAACAAAGCAACGGCAGCAGCAGCAGCAATTTGTGTTATTTGGTATTTGTTATTTGGTTAATTTGTTGTTATTGGCGGGTCGCTCCGCTCGGTGATCTTTTTGTGGAAACGTGTTTTTGCTATATTCCGCGCGTTTCTGTTAATTTCTGGCCGTATTTGTGTTTGTCGTCTGTTTTTGTTTATTTTTATTTGCGATGCGGCGGAGTGTTAATCAGCCCAGAGAGCTTCTGACCCCGGATTTGGAACGATCGAGTGTTTTTTTTTCACGATCGCTTGACATTGGGGTATTGATATTGGTTATTTGTTATTTGTTACGACAACGAATTTATATTTCCTCAATGCGGTTCCCACATGGGTTTTCAGCTTTATTTATTTAATTTTTATTATTGTAAAGTTTTTTTTTATTTTTCGATCGTATTTTTCACTGTGTTTTTTCAGCTTTTCTTTAGCTTTCTCTTGTCTCTCCGCCTGGTGTTCTGCGTCCGCCTGGCAGCGAGGGATCTTCAAAACTGAAACTGAAATCACAAGCCCCAAACGAAACGCCCCAAGCCCCAAGCTATCGGGGAGCTTTTACGCCGGAGAAAGAGCAAAAAAAAAAAGCGACACAATATTAAAGCGATCGCTACAGAGAGAAGGGGAGCCATAAGGCGAAAAAGAGAGACACTGAGTAGAGTAGAGAGGGAAGGAAATATCACTCTGAGCTGGAATTACTTTGCGTTTCAGTCGACAATTTCCTCAAGCGCAACGCCGCCAATCTATTAAAACTTTTGATTAAAAGCCCCCTAAAGGCATTGCCTTGCGGTTAACCCAGCTTCGTTGCACGCAACTCCCCCGTTTTTCCACACGATCGTGTGTGTGTTTGGGGGAAAAACCCTCGCACTTGCGTATCTTTCCGATAAAAAGAAGTACAAACACTCTGGCCTTTAGTATTATTGGCACGTTCAGTGGAGGAGACTGATTTCAATCCGTTTACTGTGTGTTCTTCGCATTGCCCTTATTTGCTTAATGAAATATAACTTTACGGCTTAAACCGTCGATCATTAAAGCACTTTGAGGTACCATAAAGATGTCGTTATCTAATTACTCTGCAGCAGGAAGAGATTTCGGATGAATTGTAAATGTAGATCACTCTCAACGAGGGCACTGGTTGGAGCCTTTGATCTTTCTTTACCTGATTTTCCCGAGGCAGATGCATGCGGAAGAGACACGCGATCGGGAAAGGGGAAAAAAATAACAAACATGCGAAATTGTTTAAACCAGTTAACAAGTGCTGGCTTCCACAAGCTTTTTTTTTTTGTATGAAAAGCTCTTGGCCCAAACAGCTGAGCCTGTAGAAGCTTTAATTGAAGCGATCTGTGTGTCTGGAGGTGTGAATTTCTTTTTAAGCACTGAAAAAATCGCGGATCAGGCGACTTAATTCTTCACTACATATAATTAAGACTTTAATAACTATATTTTATTTAAATTAAACTTGTCTTAATGTTAAATTTGGGATACTATGGGTAATATTCAAGTTATGATATAAAATTCCCAACCGGTTCTAGAGAACGTGAAAGATTTTTCATATTCATAAGCTTTATCTTAGCTATACAAAACTATATTTTTATAATTTCATGATTTTTATTATTTAATTTCCAACCAATTCCAGTATAGACATTTTGAAAAACTATTTATCTTAATCTTGTTTTTACTGAATTTGGGTATTTCAAAATATTTTTATTTTACTATGAAAAATGTCAACATAATATGATTTTTATTTTATATTTTTTTAAGTCGGTAAATGACCTTAGAAAAATATTTTAAAACATTTTTTTCTTTCGCATTTTCGTGGGTTTTTATTTTTATTTATGATCTAACACTCTTCATTTCTGAGGCACTTGTACCACATTTTCATAGAGTAAACCCCGCAACTCTCTCGGTAAACCTCAGCTTCATGCTTTTGAAATGCACACTTGACACGTTCTGGCCACTGACTTTCTGCTTCGTAATTGGATCTCGAGAACAGTGGCAGAGGCAACCACCTCAAGCCGCCGGCTAAAGGTTCCGTCAACAGATCTTCCCAGACATGACAAAGGTCCAAGTGTATCCATCCATCGACCGACTGCCAAGTACTTGTATGCATACTCTGTATGCCCGGGGCAAATTTACACAATTCTTCACAAAAAAATTGCTATCAAGGCCAAGCGAACTGAAAGAGCCATAAATCTACGGTCTCGCTATTCGTAGAATGAATATTCTAATGAAACCCCGAGAGTAAATTTGATAAATTCAATTAAAGGCATACGAGGCGGCGGGGGTATGTCATAATCACGTTGTGCAATTAACTCTCAGCCAGCAGTCATCAATTGAGTTAACTGGGGATCTAATGAATGTTCGAATATGATCGAATCATCGAATGATCGGTGTGTGGTGGGAGGTGCGCTTTCCGACTTCAGACTGAAGTTCGAAGCTCACTAGGAAACGATGGGGGGAAATACCAATGCCGTCGTCGGTGACGCCGCTGTTGTCTTTGTTCATGATTAGCATGATCATCGTGATATGGCGGGTAATTGAGATAAGAGAAAGGTAAAACTTTTCGATATAGATCCTGGCATGGCCAATTAACTTGCTTATAATTGTTTAGGAAAAGTAAATAACTTAATTTTCCCAGAAAGACTAGATTTGTGAGTTATGCAAGGGAGATAGGGAACACGAAAGGTAAGCGAACCCGATTCGAATAACAGTAATTATAGTGACACAATGCTTGCGTGCCTTTAGGGTCAGATGATGACTCAACTCGGCTAACACAATTAATATTTTGTTGTAACAATTAGATCAAAATCTAAATGGAGTTGGGAATATATGAAGAAAAGAGCTAAACAAATGATAAAATCTTATTTGAAGCTGCTGGGATGCTTTCATAGCGATGTGAATAGTCTGAAAAAAGGTGACAGAGTATAAAATTCTTAAATAAATCATTCATAAATTCTCAAATTAATAGGTAAATAAAGATTTAAAAGGCTTTACTTCTTCCCCCCGAATAATCACTTGGGGATTCTTCTTTTTATAAACTTCCTGGTCTACTGTAGAGTGGCCCTGATCTGTTTCATATCCAAAACCGTTAGGTTCATTTCTGGCAATCCTCACGGCGCCCTTTTCAATTGATAGTAATTGGCTTCGAATAAAAGTTATTCGTTGCTAGTAATGTATACAAGCGAAAGTGTAAATTGCAATTGAAATTTCAGCATTGTCAAGTAGTTTGAGTGCAACTTGGAATTGCAAATGATCGACAGGAGAAGGGAAGTTCGAAATGGATACGAGAGCGATAATGGGAATGGGATTGGGAATGGAAATTGGGAATCCAGAAGTGGAACCTACTGCTCACCTGTGTTTCAACTCCTCGTATTTTTCACTCTATTTTATTTACAAAAAAGTAGTTCGTTAGCCAAGTTGGCGTTTTTGTTCGTTGTTATTTCTAGGTTTTTTGTTTTTTATATATACATATGCACGTGTTTGGGTGGCGTCAACTTTTCCGGCTTCCAGCTAATGCACTTTCTATGCCATCACATTATAATAGTCACACAGTTGAACTTCCATTAATGGAACAAAATAATGACATAAGTCACACACTGAGATTTTGGATGAATTGGAAATATTTGTGAAACTCGAAATGATAATGTATTGTTTAATAGCCCTAAAAATATTATTTTAAAAACATTTACAGAAGGGTTCTTCTGTAAACTTTTTTAAGCTTTTCATACAAAGTTTGTAATTTACAAGTTCTGAAATTAGTATCCTTTTTTCGCGGAATAAATACTTGGGAATTATAATTTTTGAAAATGTTTTATGTAATAATTATTTGGGAGTTCTACTTTCTGGATATTTACCGATTATTCCTCTCATAAAGTACCTTTGGTTTCCAGAATAATCTTTTGAGAACCTTACTTTTTAGCAATATGTGTTGTTTTTAAATGATCACTTCGGAATTATAAAATGTTTTTCCTTAGTTAATTGACCCATATAAAAAAAAACACGATTTGCCTACTTAAATACAATATTTCTTGTGTACTAAAGATAAAAACCAATCAAGTACCTGAACAAATCCTTAGCTTGAGTGAAAGTTACTGTACTTTGGCGGAGATCCGTTCCATTTAACGAGGTTTCACCGTACTTTCCAAAGGGCTAACTCTTACGTAGCCGCGTAACTCACAACCGGCGCGAATCGTTTTCAATTTTTAACTGAAGGCGTTTCAGACCAGACCGTTTACTCGACGACGACAACAACGATGGCTTGTCACTCTTTGGGGCCCCACCATGTGTTTATGCACGGATCCTTATCTGCGGATCTAGTTCTTTATCTCATCATCCGCCGACCCACTCATCTGATTATAATTTTTAGTGTATTTCAGTAAAGTCAACTGCGGCCAAATATTTGCACATTGTTTGTTGTGCAAATGCGATATTCCGGGACCCGCGAACAAACAAAGTTACACGATGCTTAGAAACATGCACGCCAAAAAGGAACACAGAGACGGCGACGAGAAGCAAATCGGAAGAAAATATATAAATAAAAGGAAACACGCGAAACCGAGAAAATTTAAATACAAGAATAATGCTAAAACAAAACAAAAAAATAAAGAAAACACACGATGACGACGACGACGAGCACACACGTTTGCTTTTCTGCGAGCGCTCCGAATGAATGAAAAGTGCGCTGCCCGCGCGCGAAGATAAATAAATAAAATAAATACCGATGTCGCGGCTGCTGCTGCTACTGCTGTTGCTGCTGCAGAGGCGTTGACGCCGGCAGCACTGCACTTTTCGCTGCTGCTGCGGCGACTAATTTTGCCGTTAGATTCCGTGGGTTTTTCGAGAAAGGCCAAACATCAGGTTTTTCAGTTGCCTCGCTTTGCATTTGGCCAGGTATAAAATGTCGGGTATTTCTTTACACAATATAGTTTACTTTACATGGCTGTAGGTTTTTGACATGAATTTAATGTACATAGAGATGCTTGTTAAGTGTTAATTTGAATAGTTAAGTAGTTTTTGTAAATTAAGAAATTGTAGTTTTATTTTTTATTTAAGTTATGTTTCTAAGTAGCTTAAAAATAAGCATTTTGTTTTATATAAATTTACAGTAGTTATGCTTAAATTCTTACCAAATGAACATTTTCTACACACGTAGTTACCTGATTTTACAAGAAAATTATATAAATACATAAAAGACACATATTTTTGGGCGCTTTGATATTTTATACATCTTAGAATAGTAAACATATATATATTTTGCATTTGTTTCTTCTGTTTATTTTGCAAGAAAGTACCGAAAACATTTAAAAAACTACCATTATACCATATTTTCCCTGGTAGTCATAGGCTTCACGGGGTATTCTAACTTAAAAGGCTTGTCCGTTTGTCCGTCTTCCCTTTGTCCGCTCAACAGAAAAGGCATCTAAATTCCGGAGACTAAAACAGCTAGAACTACCAAATCTGGTACCAGCATTCCTATCAGTAGCAGGCAAATTAAGTAAATATTTTAATCTATCAAAAATCCTAAAAAACGTTATAATAAAGGTGTTAACTTTAGTTTTAAGATCTCTAAAAACCAACCCAACAAATGTAAAACATAAACTTGCTTACTTTTTGTTCTTTATTTAAATGTTGTGTATTCATTATAATTATATTGTACAATTTGTTTTATTTTGTTTGTTTGTTTGCTTGTCTCTTTTTTTTTATAATTTCTCAAGCTGGACATATGCATTTCTTCCACGATTCATGGAGCTTCACTTGTTCTCAGTTGCATTTTGACGTTTCTCTCTTTTTTTTGTGTGTTTTTTTTGTTTTTTTGCTTTTCTATTTTCGCGGAATCGTTTCCAACAGTAACAAAAATAAATTATTGGCTTTTAAAATATATGTGTATATGTGTTTTGTATACAAACATATATAGAAAGAGCGTAGAACTTAAGGGTTATACGATAACTAAACATATAGAATTATAACATGCAGGCAAGATTTTCGATTCATCATCATCATTTCATATATATCTTATCTTCTTCTCAATTCATATCATAATATTGTTGTAATCTTGAATAGTACGTTAAGAATTAAGGGCTAAAATTAAAAACAAATTGTGATGTACAACACCGGAAAAGTCGAGTGGAAAATGTTTTGAATTTCCCCCTCGCAAAAAAAAGGAGAGAGTAGAGGGTAGAGTAAAGAGCATTATTGTTAAGTGTGGGAGAGTTGAAACTGAGCTGAGTTAAGGGGGAACTTGAAGGTGGGGGGATTATACAATTAATAAACAATTAATAATAATATTGAGCATTGAACTCGTACTGTTCAAAAATTGTAGCAATCGATGCGGAGTATTCGTAGTTTCAAGCAAATCTCGCGGTGTAGTCTCTGCTTGAATTCAAATAACATTGTACACAAAACATTTCGTTAATTAAATTAAACTGTTAATTATGGCAAACAAAGATTGTAAACACGACATGTTATATATCCCTATACATATACATATACATATATATATATATATCTTCTACATAGATATGATTCATACGAATGCTGCGTTTTTTCGTTGGATTAATATTGTTTAGTTTTGAATCAACATTCTCGGTTGATTTTTTGTTCTTTAGATATTTTGTTTGTTTTACAACAAATGCACACAAGTGTTTTTTAAAGTTTTCGTAATTTTTTTTTTTGTGGTTTTGTATAGATTTTTTTTTTTTTGCCTTAGCTTGGACTTAACTACGATTTTTTATCAACATGTTTTATTGCAGAGTGTTCGCTTATCTCTATGTGCGTATATCTAGTTTTAAGGATAATTACTTCGAGCGTGGGGTCTTTCTACCAATTTTTTCTCATTATTTCTTCTTTTTTTTTGTGTACAGAGATCCTAATTATACATAACAGAGAAAGAGAAAGAGACGGGGGACAGTAGGGTATAGTTTCGAAACAGAAATATAGAACAAACGATTTGTTTTTTGTGTGGGTTTTTTCAAAAATAATTTTACAATTTATATATATTCTCAACAAGTAAAACGCTTAAGCCAAACATATAAAATGGATTACACATACTATAGTCTAGGGAGTTAACGATGGATACACCTAATAGATAGATTTCGATTCTGTAACTCTCACTTGCCCTGGGACCTAAGGTCATAGCATAAGCAGGGGAGCGGAAACGAGACTTATAAACCTACTGGACAGACACCGTGGCACTCTGCACACACATGCATGTGTGAAAAGTACACAGTTCGATTACGATTAGGGCTTACGAGTATCTATATAGACATAGCGAGAATGTTAAATTTGATCAAACAATTTTTAAAGTAATCTCATTCATTGTTGCTAGATAACTAATTCGAATTTAAGTGTATATCATTTTACATATTGTGTATTCTGTGCGTGTTATTTAGCGCTTAACCTCTTTTCATCCTTCAATCTCATTTCACGCAAATCTCTGTAGCAACTTGTCGTGAGTGTGTGTGTCGGTGTGTCCCATTACAACTACGAAATTAGACTTAGGCTCTATGGAAAATGGCTTATTGAAACAACTGCTTGTGTCCTTCATTTGTGTGTCTCTGTGTGTATGTGGTTATCCTTTTTTGAGCGTGTGTAGTGTGATCACTACTACGGCCACTGCTACTGATTTGGCAGCTCCGTTAGCGTCACATCGTACAGATCGTCCTCGATCTGTTGCACCTCCAGCAGGAAGATGTCCTCGTTGCAGTAGAACGATATCATGTCATCGTCAATTTTCGCAGTAATCCTGCAAAGAAAAGGGGTGCAAAATAATGAATAATAAGGAAATAATAATAAGAACGCTAAAGCTTTGAAATCCCTTGTAAGGCTGCCCAAAAGTATGCTACAGAAGTACATTTTTGCACATAAGAAATTACTGCCCTATGTTGGGCGGCATTTTTAAGACAATTTCAATTTTTGGAGGTTTAAAAAAGTAAGTTGTAATTTCTGTAGGCAAATTTTTAAAATTTAGACGCCATTTCAAAGAGATTTGAAAACTCCAAAGCCTTTGTTACGAGTTTAGCCATCCGGAACACCCATGCAAAAAGTTAGCACACGATTTTTTAGTTTGATTTAATTAAGATTAATTAATTATGCATTCATGATGTGAGGGAGGAAGATGCATCCTGGTGTATATACTGACTGTGTGTGTGTGTGTATTGTGCCTGGGTTTCTGTGTGGGTGTGTAACTGCTAACTAGCTCGATCTGGTTAGAACTTGCTTACTTACCCCTTCTTGTTTGTGCGATAAATGTTATTTATGCTCGTTGTTGAGATTTTGTATTTGTTTTCAATCTGCAATTGAGAAACGAGAGAAATATGATGTTTTTGTTTTTGTCTGTTTTGTTGTCGTTTGTTTCACTGTTTAACTAAATATTTCTCTGATAACTCGCTGGTTTTTTTATTTGGTATTTTTTCTAAGTGTAATTTTGTTCATTTTTGTGGTCAGCCAATGGCAAATCTTTTAATGCTGGGTTTTTCAGTGTCGATCAATAACTGATTGATTGTGCTTTAGTGTAAGGAATGTGTGTGGTCGGAGAACAGAGCTTTAGTCTGATTTTGGTTTTTAGCAGGTGGATATAATATATATACACGGAGATATATATATGTATACTTTGTATGGTTTTGGTTTTGGTTTTGGTTTATGAAATGGTTTGTAATTAGTTCCAACTACAAAGTTACAAATTATCGAATTTCTTCGGGTGAGTAACGATAAAGATATATAGTAGATGTGGCTGATTTTTTTTAGTCGATTTATGCTTTAGTTTTTTTTTTAGAGATTGAACATTTTGGCGCTTCATTTGTTTGATTTCTTTTTCAGCCGATCCAATTAGACCAAAATGAACAAAATTACAGAAAAGGTGGTTAACCATTAGAACGAGTTTTGGTTTTTGATTTGGTTTGGTTTAGATTTGGAACAGGGTTTGGGGTTTTTCTTTGGGGGTTTTCGTAGGGTTCCTTTGCTTACCGCATTCAGCAGGCCAATGGTGGTGGGTGGTACCACATGCAGTGGGGTGTACACCTCCTCGTTCTCCTGCCGCACGTACAGCATCACCCGTTCAGAGGTGGGCGGCGTCATCCGGCCACGCTTCATGGGCGGACCAAAGTCGGTCAGGGGAGTGCTGGTCAGCATGTTCTGGTCCAGAATGTGATCCTTCTTATCGCTGGATTTTTGGAAGGCAAAAAGAAGAGATAATATTGAAATTAGTAAGGGTTCTCCAAGGCTTTCCCAAACTCAGAAAATATTATTTTTATTTGAGCTCCGGATTTATTTTCATTTAAAATGAATGGACGATTTTTACTCACGTCTGCATGTCGGGCGGAAAATGATTATGGAACTTGAGCGTCGGCGTTGCCACCTTCTGGCCATGGAGCAGGAATGGCGAGGCCCCCTTCAGGTCCGGTGAGTCAGTCTCATGGCCGTAGAAGCTCTGCAAGGACGAGTGCGAGTTGGAGTTGGAGTTGCCGTTGCTCAGTGGGTTGAATGTCATGCCAGTATTGGTAGTAGCAGTAGTAGTTGTAGTGCCAGTCCCAATTCCCAGCTGACCTACCTTCTCCATGTCCTCGGCGGGCGAGAATAGTACCGGTGGCTTGGCGAAGTCCTGCATGCCATAGAACTCGGACCGATCCGTCACAGGATGGTAAAGCTCGTCTAGCTTCTTTCTGCCCGTTGCCGTCATCTTTCGCTTGGCAGCCCGTCGCTCCTCGTCGCGTGTTTTACGCTCAGCGCCCTGGAAAAATTGAAGAAAATTTTTAGGGATAAATACAGAGGAAGAGGATAGGAAAATGTATAGGTAAGGGTCCCCTCAACTAGGAATTTAGCTTCTTTTTTATATCCTTAAATCATTAAAGTTGTACATAACTAATGATCTACGTCCCACCTAAAATGCCAAACATTTTCGAGACTTTAGACTCTGGAGACTCTTTCGTGATGCATTGAAGATGCTCGCGCTTCCAGGTGGGATTACGAAAGTCTCAAACTGTGTGTCCCCACCATCGTGTATCCATGATTCCCTGGCCTTATAGTATTCCCACTGCGCTCGGGCACAGGTGCACATGGAGCCAGCGTGTAATTAGCAATCAATCAAATGCATGGATGCCACCTTTTTTGATATTTCTTTACTTATTAATTAAATTCGTGTATGGCTGCCAGTGCCATAAGCTGCTGCTGCTGCAGCAGCGATTTTTGCAACTGCAACTGCAGTAAGGCAACAAAAAGAAAAGGAAAAAAAAAACTCCGTATGAGAGAGAGAAACGAGTTTCTCGCCTGGGGAGCTGCGATGTCGCACAGAGACAAAGCCGCCACCGCAGTGGATTTTCGTGGATTTTCTCAGTTGGAGTCTGCAACTGCCGGGCAGTTTGGCAAAATGGTCTACACCGTTAGGGTCAGGCCAAAAAAAAAAAAAAAAAAAAAGACTGAAAAAATGGGTAAAAATTATTATAAAATACTTAGAGATGCAGCATAAATATGCATACATAATAAATAATCTGGCGGCGCCCCAAGAAGACTTTGTCTGGACCAAGCAGCGGCAGCAGCTGCCCACCTGCCTGTAGTTGCTGCCTGATTGCAGACACACACAAACACACCTGTGGCTAGTCACACGTATACCTATATAATATATAGTCTGTTGGCTACTTTGTCCGCCGGTGATTGCTAGTTTGCGTGCGCAGGCAGATGCAGCATGCATTGCTGTTGCAGGTTGCACGTTGCCTGATGCTGCTGCTGTTGCTGCTGCTGTTGCACTTTGCATTTGTAATTAAAAATCAGCAATTGAGCGATGGAAGCTGCTGAAGGTGACTGCTGCAGCAGGAGGCAAGAGGAAGAGAGAGGGTGTGCAACACACACAGGAAGTGATATGTTGCAGCAATCTACTTGGTCTGATGTTGCCTCCGCTTCGACTGTAGCCTGTCGCTGCTAAAGCTCTTCTCTTGGGGCTCCATATTATGCAAGGATGTCTGCCAGGGCCCCTCCCCCAAGAATCAGTTTCCCTCAAATTACACAGAACATAAATAGGGGTTGTATTTAGAAAATATTCTTAAAAAAATAAATTTTAAATATAATAAGAATATTAATTTCTCTTTTCTATTAAATATAAAATCATTTCTCTCTTTGAATCTTCGACCAAAGTCTAAAAATTTCTCTCTGTGTACCTATTAGCCCAAGTTCTTGCGCTTATCACAAGGCATTTTAGCCCAGAGCGATGCATTCGATGTACATCAAGTGTACGTAAGTAAGTGTGTGTGGCATGTAAATAACTGTATTTTATTACTTTTATTTTATCTTGGCAAAAATATCGCCAAACTGGCAACTTGCAACCTGGCCAAGACTGCCAGCCTGGCAGCCTGGGACGTGCAACAAGCTAAAACGACGGCGTCTCGAATCGCCCAATGCGGTCAATGCTCGTTTGCTGTCCAAACCCCGTCGCACACACACATATCTGTATATATACAAATATATATTTTTATACAGATATATCCTCTGCTGCGTTAATCGACTTCAAAGTATGACGAAGACAGAGGACAAGCGACCAAGTGGGCTGCCACTTTCCGCCGAGAAGGAGGGACATTGCCATTACCATTACCATTCACATTAACGTTAGCTAAATTCTATAATGATTTGCCATTTGCTAAAGTAGAGAGATAGCTGCAGAGACTATAGCTATGTATTAGCAGGAAGATAGTTACCTTAAAAGGGAAGCTGCACAAAATTATTATTAACATCTTTTAATGAGTTTTAGGAAAAGTAAACAAAACAAAAGTAAGACAGAACTATTAGAAGAAATCATATTAAAAATAATATTCTTTAAAAAAAAAAGATCTTTTTTTTCGTTTAGATGAAGGTGTAGGGTTTTATCTATAAAGTTTTAATATAATAGTGCTGCTAACTCTAGCTAACTCTATTAAATAGCTTACAAATTTTTGAAATAACCTTTTCTTTATGAAATACTTTGAGTACCAAAAGCAGAATCATGAGTATTTTAATATTTCCTGAACATCTCACTCTAGTTTTAATATTTATTGAACCTCTCTTTGAATTGATCTGAAAACTGGCCCATCTTTAAAGAATATAATAATAAAGTATTGTAGAGAAAATGATACTACCAGCTGCATTAGCTTGAAAGATATTTAAGATCTTTTTACTTTATTCAAAAGATCGTAAATATCTTATCGTATCTTAAAGTAATTCTTTTGATATAAATATAAAAAATATCAAGATATAGTACAACTTAACCCTTATCATTCGAAAGCTCATCATCTTATACCCCAGTTATGTAATTTTCTTAATTTTTTGTTGTTTTGGGGGAAAGTACAACATACTACCCCGCCCCGAAATCGAAAAAAATGAAACAAAAACTTGCAAAAAACAAAGAAAAAGACAAAAAAAAAGAAGCAAAATGACAGTTATCCCTCTGAAGACAAAGTCGTCGTCTCCCCAAGGTTCCCATTCACTGCAGAGAATTTCTCGCAATTTTGTATCTCTTTGTTGGGCACTGCCTGAGGGGCAAAACTTAAGGATTCATAATTGGCGACCATGGCCCCAGAGGTGCCAAACGACGGAACTGCAACTGAAGCTGCAATTGCAGTGAAATCAAAAATTACAAAAAAATAAAAAAAAACCGAGAGATACCCGAAAAACATACAGAGAAAATAAAAAGAGGCAAGCCAAAAGCTAAATAACGTGGTGCGCGAAATTTAATTGATACATTTACCGATAAACACACGCTGGCTGCTTGCTGCTGGCCCAGGCAAAAGGGCCGGCCTAAAAATGTGAAATATAAGCCCGACGCGATAGCGATATGGCCATGGCTACACAGATCCGAGGATTCCAAAAGGGATCGGACACAGGGCAGGGCTGTGTACAATAAAAGCCATGTCCAAACGAGGGGACGAGGACGTGGAAGTGTAATGATATGAGAAAATTAAATTGGAAATCCACGAAATGATTTATTAATAAACCCCATCAAGCGAAAAAGTGAAGGGTTCGCATAAAGGCAAAGATACGAAACGAAAACAAGGGCATGGAAAGGATGTGTTGTGTGTATGGATGTGTGTGTTGTTGTTGTTGTTACTGGACATTTACTTTTGGACGCGTTACGCTTTCCACTAAAGGTCTCTCTGACTGACGGACAGGCATTGCCGTTGCCGTGGCCGCTGCTGCCTTACCTTGCCTTGCCGGTGCCCCCAATTCGATAAAAGTGGCAGCCACATATCCGAGGGAGAAGCTGCAGCAGCAGCAGCAGCAACAAGTGGCTGAGAAGCTGCACTGGGGAAAATGTCTGATCGAGTAGCTGATTCTTTTTCTAGGTTTATGACATTTTTATGACAACAAAATTGCTCGCTGATGACTCGTATGGCTTAGCTTTAAAAGGTCAATCAAATATTGTAGTAAACACATTTTTTTTAGTAATAAATATGCACTTAGAGTGTACTTAGCTTCGGTTTTCTAAATGAAATAGCAGTGATTTATATTTAAGAATCAACAACTCACTTAAAATCTTTAGTTTCAACACCATTATAAAGAAAATCTTGAGATAATAGTCTGTTTCTAATGTATTCTAGGTAATTTGCTACTAGAATCAGTTGGGAATCATAGAGCGCAGCATGAGGTTAAGTCTCTGAAGGAGCTTCTTGTGTACCTTGGACCTATTTCCATTTTAAACTTTTAAATTGGTATAACAGAAAATGTAATTATTTTGTTTTCTTAGTTTTCTTCTGATTAAATTTTAAGAATTTTTTCCTACCCCATTTTTCCCACTGTGTAATGCAAACGAACCTGCACGTAGACCGCTTTTAGTTAGCTCATCAACCTGTTGCACGTGGCAGAGGGAGCTGCTTGCTGCTGCTGTTTTGCGGCTGCGGCTTTGGACCTGAGTCCCGGAGACTGCTCCTGTGTGCGTAATTGCCAGCTTGGAGGAAGGGCGACATTCAGGGGGACTCCTCTTATTTCTTATTTTCTTTCTTATGTTTCATAGGGGACACGATGGGGACTGGGGACTAGGGAAAATAAAATCACTTACCTTATCGCAGAAGACCTTTATCTGACAGTAGCCGCGGTGGAAGACTGCCGCATCTCTGGGGTCCTCGAATGTGTCGATTTGTACGTGCAGCGGCAGGCCCTGGAAGAAACCACAAAAGCAGAGAAGAGACGGGAATCCGTATTAATATCACAATGCCCCCGAATCATTCAAATTGCCCCACGGGGCAGTTAAAAGAGTTGCTGGTGCTGCTGTTGCTGCTGCTGCTGCTGCTGCAACTTCTGCCACAGCGAGCTGCAATTAGCCGTTGTCATTTGGGCTTTGAGGGGCGTGGCCCCTCGAGCTGGAGCTCCCCGAATGGGGCGTGGCCGCAGTGATGTTAAACTGCCAACATCCGTTGTCCCCCCCAAAAAAATGGGGAGTGAGTAGTGTGTGGCAGCGAGTGTGTGTCCAGGTGAGTGTGTTGTTTGTGCCTAAGCAACATCTTGTGGCAAGTGCATAATTTGATTTGCCTATTGCCCACACTGGCTGCCACACACAGCTCTAAAAATTAATTTTTTTTATGGCTTATATAAATATTTAGATATATTCATTTATAAAAATTTAAAACCAAGAAAAAACTTGATTGTGGAGAATCCCTTTTCCTTTCTGCTGCTATTTATACATTTTTAAAAATATTTAAATTAAACCTAAAATACTTTAATATTCACCCCTTCGTTGCTCTTTAGTTTCTGCTTTAAATTCCCCCCCTTAATTTCTTCCTGTGTAATCTCCTTTTGTACCTGCCATCGCGCTCTCCTTTAATGAAAAGCAACGAGTTCTGCCTGTGTTTTCTGTCAATGAAATATCAGACTTAATGTACGCATTACAACTCCCGGGACTTGCCAGGAGGAGGATGTGCAATCCGCTTTAGAGGAGCAGGTGAAGAAGCTCAACTTAAGGAGGGGGACAGGAGTGTAGGAGCAGCAGGAGGCAGAAGAGGAGAAATCCTCTGCCTACACGTAGACGCATCAGAAGAGAGTCTTCTGACCGTTGTCAAGACGACTGTTGGCTGGCTACTCCGACTGCTGATCGGCTTTGGAGGAGCCAAGAGGAAACTGGAGCGCTTCTTCTTCTTCTTCTTCAGTTGCATTGATTCGCCATTAACAAGTTGGCATTAAATTGGTTATTACTTAACCCATCAAAGGCAATACATCTGACTTGAATTTCAATTATAGAAAGGTGGAGACTATGGGATTTCTCTGGGAAATGATGATATAGGTTATCTTAAGAGCAGGGAATGTGTTATAAAAGAGAAGAAATAATGGTAGAAAATTTTTTTCTAAATGAAAATTAAGTCGTTTAATATATTTTATTGACAGGACTGCTTTAAAAATTAATAGGAACTTGTTCAAATGGATGAAAAAACACGGTTAAAAAATAAGATTATAAAAAAAATAAATATTTATAATTCAAAAGATTACTTAACATTAAGAAAAATAATTATAAAGGCTACGAAAAATGATTTAATGAAGAACAAAATATTTTCTAAGCTATAATGAACCTATAAATATTTACTCTAGGAACTTTGACTATAAAACTATACAAGTAATATCTTAAAGAAGCTCCCTAAATTATGAATATTATTTTTAATATTTAAAGAGGTGATAATATATTATATTTAATATTTTTAAAAACTCACCTTAACTCCCTTTTGACTGCTGAAATCCGTGCTGAGGCACTGAACCGCAATGTTGATCTGTGTGTTTTTTTTTTCATTTTTGAAAAATGCGAAAAAAAAAAGAAAAGAGAAAAAAAGAGAGCGAAAATGTGAGAAATGCCATAAAATATACAAATGTAAACAATTATGAGCATAAAAAGAAATTATATCGGATGACAAAAACTGAAAATGCGACGACTGGCTATTAGAAGGCAATTGTTTTCTCTCTATTAAGTCGATGTCCTCTTTATGCCCACGACAGTTTAAAACATTCCGACGCACACACACGCATAAAAAAGGGGGTAAAAAAAGAAGATATATATATAAAGAAAGAAAGAAGGAGAGGAGACAATAACAAGGCAATACACAGAGGACCATGGACCATGGACCGGGCCTTAAAGCCAAGTAACGAGCCAAGTCAGGCCGCGACTTTGTATCGCATCCAATTCATTTTTAGTTTGACTTCGATTCCAGTGCAAGGTGTGCTCCATGCATCTTACAGATACAGATGTATCTGTTTCTGTTACTGCACCTGTATTTGTATCTGTAGCTGTGTTTTCAAGGCATTTTAAGCAAGCCAAGTCCGAGTTTGAGTTTGAGTTCAGTTCAGAGACAGACGAGTGCGCGCACAAAAAAAAAAGAAATATATATATGTATATAAAAAGAAAATCCATCAACGCAAAAATACCAAAGGAAACAATCTTAATGGTAAAAGTGCAACAGCAGCGGCAGTCACAGCCGCCGCAGCATCCACATCCACATCTCTGTCCGATGTGGACGAGCAGTATTTAATGTGAATAATTAGCGGGCGCGTACCATATTGGGTTCGGACTTTGGTTCGGGTTCGGGAGGAAGCGGAGGAAGCACCTGCGTGTCGGTGCGTACGAAAGTTTTTCTGTTGCCGCTGCTGGGAAAGGCAGTATCTTGCAGATACACACACACACACTTTGAGATACTGAGTTGCATTGGCTAACGGCACAAAACGAAATCGACATTATGCCAGGCGGAGGCAGCTCTCTCTCTTGCTTGGCGCAGACGATGTCGCCGGGATTAACATCTCAGCGCGTAAACAATTTGTAAATAAAAAGCTCTATCAAATGTTCGAGTGGGCGGGTAAGGGGGGATTTATATTGGTGGAGAGGGGTGGTGGGGGGGTGGTTGGTGCACTTATGGCCACAGCCAGTTAATAACTGCTGACCAATTTGGCAGACTTTGCACACACACAGAAGTCACTGAACTTGAATGAAAATCAATTCGGTTTTGGCATTTGTTTTTCTTTGATTTGTTTTTTCCTATGGCATTTTTTTTTTTGAGCTGGGTTAAATGGTTGCAGAGAGAGAAATGGGGGGTCATCTTTGATAGTATTTATATTAAAAAGGTTTTCATAGAGATTATAACTAAGATTTCAGATATTTTCCAGATGCTAAAACACTTTTGAAAGACATAAAAGTTAATTTATCAAGAAGAGAGCCGACTTTTTTGAAAATTTAAAAGAAAGTTCCTAGAAAAATATTAATTTTATATTTAAGCATTAAAATTTAATATTTTGTATATCATTTTAATATTTATATTGTGGCGAATTATTTAACTTTCAAGTTTAATCCAGGTAATCTTAAACTTTTAGGTATCTTTAATAATTATTTAAATTCAAAATGCTAGAATATTCAATCTAAATCCATGAAAATTCTTTAAAAATATCTATTAACCTCCTTTACCCCTGATTTTCTCTCTCTGCACGTGGGCGGAGCTAGGCAAAGGATAAAGCTAGCTATCTGCTACAACGGCTATGCGGCGTATACGTAATATGAGGGCTGTGTGTGTCTCACTTACTGGTCTTACTGCTGGCGCTTGCAGCAATAGAATTGCAAATATTTTCCAGCGATTAAAATGCTTGATAATTGCTAAATTAAAACGCGGTGGGAGCTTGGCTCTCGGCTTCGGGTTCGCTTTGCTCGCTTAGCAAGCAAAATCAAAAGCCGCTCGGACACGGGCTCGGTCTCAGACTCAGACTTAGTTCCAAGCATTTGCGAGTAAGTGATTAAAACTAAGTGTCATAAATAAATAAATGCATAAATTATTCTTTTGAAAAAAAAAAAAATAACAACACACAGAGTCTGTAAAGAGTGGAAAAGAGATGGAGGATAAATGAAAAGGGATGGCCATAGTTGGCTGGGGCAATGGCGACGACGCTCGCTGAATAATTTGCGTTTTAGCCGCAATTGAAAATAAATCAGAAATTAATTCTTGGCTCACACACATGAAGCGAAGCGAAGAGCAGCGCGGGTATTTGCTATCTCCGTCTGCTTCAATAAAAGTGTCGCGCTAATTTTTTTTCATTTTTAATTGAGGCGGCGCTCGAAGTAAACAAAATGGTAGAGAGAGGGAAAAACACACATAAAAAAGGTATACAGAAGTTTAGTGAGCTTAAGGTATTGACATGAAGATACCCTTTATATTGGGGTTATAGAGTGGGAAATCTTGGGATACTATAGTATAAGTACATTATCTTTATATGGATTCTGTTTCTTTAAGTAAACTCGAAAGGTTTTAAATATAACCCATATTTTTGTTATATTTTCTGAACATCTCTTTCAATTGATCTGAAAATTGGCAGATCTGTTGAACATATAACTACTAAGCATTGTGCAAAGAAAAGTACCATTACCAGCAAAAACTTAAAAGATATTTAAGATTTTTTTGCAGTGGGTTTTACAAACCCACAAAACAAATATCTCCCACAGGAGCATCTTACAGGGTATACATAAATTCCATAACCGATCGCAATGGCCATATGGAATCGAGATCTAGAATGAACACAGAACTTACCTTGGCGGAGCTCTCCAGCGGATTCCAGTAGACGGCGATGGCATTGTGCGACACTTCCTCGATGCAGCCAACGAGGCCAACCGAGTTCTTCGTATCTATTTTTTTAAGAGGGAAGAAGAGCAGAACGAGGAGAGGCAGGTGGTCAGTAGATGTGCAAGGAGTCGCGTAAAAGAAAATATGTTTGTATTAACAATTAAGGAAATTTCTGCGTTGCCAACCAGTGACAAGTGCCTAATGAGTTATGTTTGATGGGCCAGCATCGGCGGCAGCATCTAGCAGCTGAGATTATCTGCAATCAAACAAACGGAGCGAGAAGTCCGAAGTTGCAGCAGCAGTCTAAAGTTGCAGCAGTTGCAGTGGCTGCTGCGTTTATCAATGTCATAACTCTCCTGGAACGTTGCGGGCCTTTCAATAAAAAGCCACAATTTACTGCTAGAAATACTAGACAATACAAATGGACAGTGCCGCATCCGACGCTGCTGGACTTCTGACTTCTCCATCTCCTACTCCTTGGGATTCCTTTTTCTTCTACATCTTCGTTGTGGCATGGGTAGGCTGGGGGACGGGGGGTTTCTACTACGCACCTGCATCCAAGATTCTTTGCTTCACGGAATGCTGACGACTGTGCCAGAATTGCCAGGCCTTGATCTCATCTTCGGGGCTCTTCTCCTCGCGGAACATTAGCATGATCACACTCTGTTGGAACGGAAAGCAAATATGGTTATTAAATTAGGTGCAAGACCAAGTTAAAAGAGGCTCTAAAAATTAATTCATACGAATTATGATATATATATTTGAGTTGAGCAGGAAATGTTAGGTAGTTAAAGTTAAGTCAGGGAAATGGTTTTATTGAGAGGAAAGTTACAGGGAAAACAAGGCTTTTTATGGGGTTTTGGGTAGAGGTTTAAATAGCTAAAATTACTTTATTATATATAAAAATAGACTTTTTATAAATTTTTATAATATTGTGTCTCGTTTGATAAGAAATAAAGACAGCTTCTGTTTATTTTTTCTTTTTAAAAAATTCCCAGGACCAAAGAATTTCCCTTATTTTAAAACCATTTGCATTTAAAACCTCTACTTTTTCCCAGAAAAATTTTAAATAAATAAAATTCAGTCTCTAGATTAAATCTTTGTAATGAAAAAACCCTGATCTGCAAGACAAACATTGCTAATCAAATTAGGATCTACTCTCCTATACCTAACCATACTTCCAAAACTGATCTCTATCTGCAAGGCAAGGCCATGTCTTTCACAGGACATACTCGTAATCCGTTTATACTATCCCGATCTGGGCTAGACATCGCCTCAACGCTCCCAGGGTTCATTGCTCTGACATATACGCGTTGTGACACTCAACTCACAACTCGGCGGATCGCACCCTACGCCTTTTTGAAAAGTCAAAAGGATTAAGGTCCCGCCAGAGACGTAGCACAAAAGGACGAATTCGATTTAGCAGAAAAACGTCCGGCACATTTTGTTTCTTCTGCTCATCACGAAGCATTGTTTTCCCAGCATTTGCATATTTTCGCTATCATTTATGTGTCTATTTTTTTAGATTTTGAATAATTAGAAGGAAAAAGGAAGCGCAGAGATAGCGCCGACGAAAAAGGAAACAGTCTCGAAAGCCATCCCTTCTGCCGGGTTTAACTGATTACAGGCATAAATATTTTTGGTGTGTATGTTTTTGAAGAAGTCTGTTTTTTTTATACGGAAAGTCTTTACATATTCATGGGCTAATCAGCTCGTAAATTATACTCAGTTTTTCTTCAAGATTCGGTTCGCTTTTCCCCGTTAGAGAAATGGACATTGCACGATTGGGTTGTGATTTGCATAAGGTAGATTTTTCTCTTCGTTATATATGTATATATAGTTTTTTTGGGTAGAAAAAGGGCGCGCAGCTCTAAACAAATAAACTCGTAAATTAATTTTGACACTTTTTTTTGGTAGAGCCTTGGCAAAATATGGCAGTTTTATGGTAATATGAGGAGAGTCCCGCTTGGAAGAACTTGAGAAGTTCTGTGAAGGAAGAAACAAAGTTCTTCATAGTTTCCAGCTTTATACTTTTTTTATTGCTCTCATTTTTTTTTTTTTTGCGTATGCAAATGACAAGGATTCGTCTTCGTCTTTCTTTAATTTCAATTGTTGTTTACTTAGCCACTTCCCCCCAGAACCCGGAACTTCCCGTTTCCACTTCGAAAGCAAAAAAAAACAAGAAAGGAAGCTAACTTCGGCACGCCGAAGTTTGTATACCCTTGCAGATATTATTTCATTACATTTTACCTATACTTATTATGTTTACAGTTTGACAGTTACAGTTTTGCATTCCCAGCTTTACATTTTGTATACATCTACCGATCGGTTTATATGGCAGCTATATGATATAGTTGTCCGATTTTTTTGAAATTTATACCAAAATTCTAGAATAATAAAATAAGCTTATATCCCGGAGTAGATGAAAATACGTTGAAAAACAACGAATATATAATTTTTTTTTCTATTAATTTCCCGATCGTTCCTATGGCAGCTATATGATATAGTCGTCCGATTTTCATAAAATTTTTACCAAAATTCAGAAATAATATAAAATGGTCATATCTAAAAAATGGTGCCAAAATGTTGAAAAACAGCAAAGTTATAATTTTTTTTCTAAAAATTTATCGAACATTTGTATGGGAGCTATATGATATAGTCGTCCGATCCGGCCCGTTCCGACATATATAGCAGTGAGAGTATATAGAAGACTATATGCAAAGTTTCATTCAGATAGCTTTAAAACTGAGGGACTAGTTTGCGTAGAAACGGACAGACGGACGGACGGACAGACGGACAGACGGACGGACAGACGGACAGACGGACAGACGGACATGGCTAGATCGACTCGGCTGTTGATGCTGATCAAGAATATATATACTTTATAGGGTCGGAAACGTCTCCTTCACTGCGTTGCAAACTTCTGACTGAAATTATAATACCCTGCAAGGGTATAAAAACTGTAACTTTGATGTCATTCTTTTGCAGCTCTCAACGGTTCAGTTTACAATTTGCATTTGCTTGGCATCCTTCACGTCATTTAAGCTTATCTGATTGATGATGTTGATGGGCACATTGTGTGTGTCCTGCTTCTACTCGCAATCGTCCTGAACAAACATTCTTGTAGACGACTGTTGAAAGGACGCTCAAGGCGTTCAGCAATTTGCATTGAACGAATATTCAAATTCTCATCAAGGGATCGGCTAAGGCTTTTTCTCAGTATCATTTATCATCGCACTTTGGTAGCAGCAGGATATGGGATGGGTGTAATTGAGCAAAGGGTTGGCGAGACTTGATCGCACCTCGGGGTAGTAGTAGCTAAAAGGACCAAGGAGCCGACACAGATCCCCTGACAAATCACCTAGGATATATATGCATATAAAGGGGTTGTTGGCCTCCGGTGATTTTTCTTTACTATTTCTTCTGGCTTTCTTCCTGATCCTGAGCTCGAACCCTGTGTTCCTGTTTCTGTGGTGTTGATGGCATAAACAAAACACACCAAAGAATGGAAAACAAGCAGCACGAACTTGATTGACAAAGCTCCCCTTCCCCCCAGGTTTTCTATGTCTTATATGGCTACAGGCTATGTTTTGGATCCTACCTTGACGGTGGTGTTCTTGATGGGCTTGTCCGCATCGTGCACATACTCCAGGGTTATCCCATAGAATTGACCCTTGTTGATGTAGGTGATGCGATCGTCCTCGCGCCTCTGCGATGAGCTAATGGGGCTCTCCAGGTGATAGCGGAAGCCCACGTTTGTGAAGCTATTTGGGGGGAAAATAAAAATGTAGAAAGAGGGATAAAATCAGGGATCGAAATGGGTTAAAAATATAGGTGAATTCACCTAAAACTATGATAGGAATTCATGAAATTTCTGCTTTTGAAAGAGAACTAATCTTATTTGTAGAACATTTACTATTTCAGGACATATTTTAGAAATTTTATAAAAGCTTTATCCTTAGAAAAACATAATTTAAACCCTAATTAAAATAATTTCTTATATAGAAAACTTTATAAACTTTTTCATTTTACTCACATTTTTGGTATTTGAATTTTGTCTGCATCATTTTGGCGTCCAAAGTCATGCCAGGGCCTTGATCGCGTCGATCCATTTGTGCTTGTATCCACCAGCGAGGTCGTGGGACTATTCTGACTCCCATGGACCACTGTCCGCTGCTGGATGCTGTTCACACTCACGGGTATGCTGCCATTGGCATCGATCAGGGTGCCGGGCTGACACAGCTCCGTGTAATCGAAGGACTAAATTAAAGGGGAATTAAGAAGGAAAATTAATAAAAATTGGTATAAATGATTGGAATTGGTTAGATAAGTTAAAAAAGAATATAAATAATATAACAATTAAATAAAGAAATAATTAATTACTAGGTATTAATGGACACGACACGCTTTTATCAAAGTTAATAAATACTCTACCAAAGGCTACTCTAACTCTTACACCCTCTTCGTCTCCTTTCTCTTCCTCTTTTACGGGGATTTATACCTGTTGTATGTTTGTCTGATCCCGCGGTGTGATGGCATCCGTTCCTATGCCCGAATCCGGACTGGGCAGGTCCACCGTGAGACCCGCCGCCGTAATGGCCTTGGCATACAGAGGCGTGGCTCCTCCATTGCTCTTGGCATCCTGTGGATGCGGATGTGTATGATGCTGCTGTTGTTGTTGCTGGTGCTGCTGGTGGTGCTGTGGCTGCTGCTGGTGGTGCAAACTGCTGGTCAGCACTGTGGTTGTGGCGGGCGGGGGAACGCTGCCGGCAAAGCGGCCCTCATAGGTAACCACTCCGCCGGGCTGTGACACGGACACATCCACATCACCGTAAAGGGAACGCGTGCTGGCCGGCACATAGCCACCCTGACCGTCCGGCGCAAAGTACTCCCGATAGTAGGAGGGCTCCGCAATGAAGGTGCTGGTGCTGGTGGGCGGGGGTCCTGGCGGTAGCCGGCTGGCCGTATACATTCCATAATCATTGGCCGTTATGTATGGACCGGGACTGGGGCTCTGAGCCTGCAGGGAGACACCTCCGCCACCGCCGCCGCCGCCAGCAGCTCCAGCGGGTCCGGCGCCACCGCCTGCTCCGCTTGCCGCGCTGGGATGTGAGGTCTGTGCAGGTGGTTGGGTTGATGGTTCACTCTCGGCTCTAAGTTGGTTCGTTGGTTTCTCTGAGACAGTGCTGCCAATTGGGAAACCCTTTTTTTCACTGGACAGATCGTTTCTTATGTCTTTTCTTTGTTTATTGTTTAATCTTTAAAATATTTTTATGGACCTTTCTGATTTTAAATTGATGCTGTAATCGATTCTTATCTGACTTTTTATGATTTTGTATTTTTATTGACTTGATTTTATTATTTTTTTGAGGCTGGTATATTAAAATGAAATTGTTTGTTTTCTTCATAAACATTTTAAAAGCTTTGATTCTTAAGAAATCAGAGCAAAAATGTAAAGTTACTGGGTTTTTGGTGTGATTATAGTCATATTTCAAGCTCAATATATACATGGAATTGAAATTAATTTATTTACAATTAAATAACAAAATATTCAGCATTATTGTTTCCCAAGTTCAAGTTATGATATCATGTTTTATCAAAGATAAAACCTTTAAAAATCAAAAAAACCTCTTGAATTTTTCCTTACTAATATTTTAATTACTTATTTTCCTTTCCTAATATATATTCATCAATTTCCCCACTAGTTTTCCTTATTTCTCAGCTCGATCTGTCCAGTTTTTGATACATTTTCCTTGGCAGCACTGCTCTGGAAAAGCTGCTCACCTGTAGGTAGATCTGTGTGCCGCCCGTGGTCGCATACATCGCTGTGGTGCTGGGGGAGTGTGGTGGTGCTGCTGCTAGAGGTGGTGATGGTGTGTTGCTTCCGGGGGCTCCCAAGCCAGATCCTGCTTCCGATGTTGTTGTGCTGGGCCTAACAGCTTCACTTGCGTGCAAGATCTACGGAAAGTGTGCGGGTTGTTTGGGTTTCGTTCTTTATCTTAAAAGCTAAAGCTTGACTGGAATCCGGTGGCTAAGCTAACTGATCGATCTGAGTGAGACCGAGACTCTTGTCATTGTGGCTAATGATTGATGGCGCTGCTGTCTACGGCGGCCCACTGAAGGTCACAACGAAAAGACACCACCAGAAACGAGGTGACAAAAAATAGTGCGTGTGGCCTGCGGAGTTCTGGTCTGCGCAGAGTCAATGATTGTCATGATTCCATGATTCATACAGTCAGCGACCAACAGCTTATTGAAAAATAACGTCAACAAGTACAGTTTATAATAAAAGGCTATAAAAGAGTGTATATACGGGCCGAAATGAAACAGTCGCCGTTGCCGACGTCGTCGTTGTCGTCCGTTGTTGTCGTCGAGTGGAAAGAAACCAATTAAAAAATATACAGAAATACAGAAAAAAAAAACCAACAACAATGAAAAAAGCGCGAAAAAAATCATTTATATACGGCTTATATATATATACGGCTATATGCATATGTTAATTATTATTGTTTTTTTTTCTGTATTTTTTTATTGGCCGCCCGAAAATGTCAAACGTTTTTTGGAGACACAAAACGCACGCAGAGCCAAATGAGGTAATACGGAGCAAAGTGTGGTCAATTCATGTCTTCAGATATATGAATATATATATAGACTTGGGTTGGAATTAGCAGTCAGCTGCTGATTGCCAGAGGTTTGTCTTTCGTCTTTGGTCTAAAGAAAGTGAAATCCCCCGTCAAAGACGTCACTAGTCTTTAACGTTTAAGCCTTTGATCAAACCGGTCTGTACATTTTTTGGTTAATTTTTGTTACACTTTTATTTGTTAGAAGAGCAGAGAACCTTTTGTAATAATTTATGGTATTTACTTGAAGGTATTTTTCTTTAACAACAATTTAAGGTTGTCTTTTTGATTTGAATTTTTTATTCAACTTTGTGGTTTTTTGTTTCGATTCGTTTGCTTCTCATTTTTGTGTGTTTTTTTTCGGTGAGACTCTTGTATAATTTAGCATCAGAAAAAGATTCTAGCTGCGAGCTAATTAAATTTGTTCATCGAAATCAATTTGCATTTTAAACTTTTGAACGTGCAACGTCAGAAAAGGCCTTGACGAATCCGATCGACGATCGATCCACGATCCATGGAGACAAAGATACTTTGTTGGTGCTTTTAGTCTCGGCTTTTCTGCTTTTCTGTTTTTTCGGATATTTTTGTGGTGCGTGTTGTTTTTTTCATTTATGTATTTCGTTTTTTTTTTTCAAGCCCAATCGCATCCGAATCTTTAAGCCTTTGTTGCTGTACGGTACCAAGCCATATAACTGAGCTAGCCGAATGGCTCGCTTAGAATTATGCTAAGTAGCGGCTAGCCACTAGCGACAAACGAATGATTCTGGCACATATTTATGTATGAGGAAGATATAAAAAAAAAAAAAAAATCACCAAAAATCTAACAGCAACAACAACAACGTTTGGATACCACGTAGACAAAGGAAACAAAAATAACAAAATATTTAAATAAAGCCAATTAACTATTTTAATGCCTTTTGGAATGATAAAAAGTGAAACTTTTTTTCTTCTTCCAAGTCTCGCAGCGTTTTTATGAATATCGTTAATTCTCGGAAATAAAGTGAACGAAAAGCCGAGAAAAACAAAAAAGACATCTTTATACATATATGAATATGAAGCTAAACAACAACTTTGTTTTGCATTCATAAAATATCTTAATGGTTCCTCCTTGATGCTGTAATTGTGGGTTCTTTGCCATAAAGAAAAACCCCTGACTAATAGCCATAGCCATAGCCCTCCCTCCCTTCTTTAAACTATAACAATTACACTTTTAATAAGAGCAATAAACCCTCAAGGTTGTTTTGTTCGATTGCTGTACCTTTTATAGAGGAAAAGAGTTGCTTCTGCTTCTGTTTAATGTCTGTTGTTTTTCTTTGAGGAAAATCTCATTTGTTTGTGTCATTAATTGGTTTGTTAGTTAAATCATTGAAGACGCAATTAGCTTGTTATATCATTTATAGGCTTTTGATTATTAATTGAATTATTATTTATATTTCCCATCCGGTTCTGAGAAATTGTAGGCTTATCTAGATAACTCTTGGAGTTTATTTAAACCGCCTGTGAAGCTGAGTCACTTTAATGACAACTGATTCATTTGACAAAATTAATGAAAATACTCTGAAAAATTCTCTGAAAATTTGTTGAATCAATTTGCAGTGGGATATCCGTTTTGTACAGTAAAAACCCACAAACTGATAAGCGAAGATTTCGATTTCGAGCAATTAGAAAGGCCTGCGATTCAGCCTCAGTCTAAGCCTCACATCTCGGGCTTAAACAAATTGCTTTGGCGGATTGGTAGATACTCGCGCCGATATGGCGATTATATAGAGCAACGCGAGAGAGAGAGAGTTGGCTGGCTAGCTGGCTGGCTGCTTGTTTAGCTAATCCGAGATCTTAATTCCTCTGTATTTGTTGTGTCCCTGTTTGGCGGTCTAATGATTACACTTTCCGGTGCAATGGAGAGCGCAATAAATAAATTGGACGACGAGAGTACAAAATTGATATGTTTTCCGATTTTCTGCCATAAATTAAGCTGGCGAAACCTTAGACTTTAAACTATATATACTACGATATATGCAGTGTGTGTATGTAAATTAATAAGACAAATATTAAGAATAATTAACTGTCAATGCAAAAATGTACAATAAATTAGAGTGCATGCAAATTGGGTGTCTCTGTGTGTGTGTGTTTTGCGGCAATTTAATATTTTTTTTTTTTCTGTTTGTGCAAATTAATGCCCAATAAAACCCAGAGACGGCAATTAAGCAGCGCTGGATTCTGCTCAATGAATTTTCTGAGCCCAAAGCACAACCCACCCACCAGAGAAAAAAAAGAATCGCGCAGAAATGCGCGCCAAACGCAAAAAAGAGCGAACAAAAAACAAAAGACTTAGGCAGCGAACTTGTTCGCCGCGTGGGCGTTGAAAGGCAACGCGCGTTGCGCCCACACACACACACACATACTGCTGCTATCGAGCTGGTCTTAATGTTGTTGTTGCTGCTGTTATTTTTGTTGTTGCTGCTGTTTTCTTGTAGCTGCTGCCGCTGTTGCTGCGCGTGTGCGTTCGTTGTTGTTGTTTGTTTGATTCATTGATTTGATTTTGTTTTGGCTTGCAGGTGGACAAAACAGTTGAACTTCGATAACTAGAGACTTCTAAAAGGGTGGTACCTTAGGGTTTTTACAAATTATTGATATTTAGCTATCGGATTTTAGGGGTTTTCCATTTCGAACATAGTTAATCAAGGTATTATCTATCAGGTAATATATTACATAGTTATAACCAATCTGGTACTTAGGGCTTTAAAGCCCCTAACAACAATGTTTAAATGTCGGAAAACTAGTTCTATTTTCTAAGAATTTAGTACTTGCCTTATAAATAATGATTAGGAGTTTGACATTACTATTATAATATTTATAACAGAATTAATGTGAATTATTCTGATTCAATGTATCAATCAAATAAAGATTTTAAGAAGACTTGAAACTTTGTATATATTTTTTTTATATTTATATTTATATTTATGGATAATTTTTAGATTTTTTACTAAGAAAGTTGTAGAGGCTTTAAATTCTTTGGGTCTTCAGTTTAAATCTTTGGAAGAATTCTTCTAATGATACTTCGGTTTTAGGCTAGTTATTAAGGCTCTGAGAAATTAGAGATCAGAGTAATCTTAGTTAAGGAAGTTCGAGTTTGTCTTGCTCCTCAGAGTTCATAGAGTCTTTATAGTTATAAAACTGATCACAAAACATATACCATATTCCATTTTGTTAAAGTTTACAGCCTGTAATCCCAAGTCTTTGCTATATAAACCTACAAAACTCCACACTTGAAACCACAAGTATTCCAAAAAGTTCTTTATAGATTTCCAACCTGTAGACCCTCCACTGTAATCGTAGGCCTATTCTACATATGATATGATATGGATATGCCACGGATTGCACTGCCCACATTCCAATCAAGCTGTTGTTTTTTTTTTTTTGTTTTAATATATATTTTTTTGTTGCTGTGCAGATCGGATATCACGGTCACTCACACTCACTTCTCACTGCTGCTGCTTTTTATGCAGAACACACTGATCACGGATCACTGCGATCACTGCGATCACCTATTGGATCACGTATAATATATCGGGTGTTCTGTTACAAATTCGATGTCGGTCTACGGTTACGCTTACGGGTCGGGGAAAACACGATACGAAAACGATACGATCCTACTCCGACAGTGCGATACTAAAGACTAAAGCGCGATCTCAGAAATCTTGAAAAAACCGAGTATGACAGCCGCGCGCACACGTTCACGCACACTGAGGCAAAGTTGCGTCGGCCAGTTGGAACACACAGATACGTTTGGGGTGCGAGCGGGATGGAGAGCTCTCATATCAGTTCAAAATGGTTGGAATCTCTTTCTGTCGCAATATTCTGACATGTATGTTTGTCAGGGGTTGAGAGAGGTGGGGGAGAAGGGGGAGTCTCGGGGCAGAATTATAAAATAGCTAAGCAAAAGATCGAAAAGGAAGGAGCGAACAGCGCCAATCGAACCGCCGGAAGTGCGCACTTATCGCTACCGATTGTCGCCCTGGCTCTTTGCCAACTGCAATTTCCCACAGTGCAATGCCGAGAGCTTTTTGCTGCTCTTGCAAGACATTTAATTATGGTTTTTCCTACTGCTCTTTTTCCTTTCCTTTTTTTCCCCCCTTTTTATTTGCTTCGTGTCTGCTACTGATAAAGGCCTTCCAGCTCGCAGCTACGAATCTCCAACTTGGAGCTTCGAACATCCAACATCGAACCGTGTCCAAAGGAAGCCTTTCAGACGCAGCCTGATCCCCTATAAGAGCAAGCGAGAGCACCATATACAAATCACGTACGCACACACACGATCGTATAACACACGGCCAGCCGGCCCCGAGCCGTGTATAACACTTTTCCGATGCAGGCCACATTGCTATTGCTTTCAATAGAACCGAACAGCAACAACAACGTCGCCGATTCGTATTGGCTGCAACCACTAATACTCATTGCTCACTCACACCAGCAATTGGCAGACCAATTGCAGCGCTGTTAGACAAAAGCAACAAGCTTGCCAGCGGCATTGGGAAGGGGGTTGGGAGGAGGGTGGCAAGGCAGCAACGGCAACAGCGAGCGGGTTAATTGATGTAGCGCACAGGATGCGCCGCTGATTGCGGTTGTCCACCGTACACAGTGTCGTCCACTCTCCATGCCGCTGCTCCTGCTGCTGCTGCTGCTACTGCTGATAATTGTGAATGGAAATGGAATGGGATTGGGAATATCAGGCTAGTTTGGAAGCTGTGGAAATGGGAAGGGGATCGCATGGGAAGCTGGAAGATGCCAGTTGCATGCAAGTTACACTGGGAAAAAACAGTTTTGGCATGGCGATATTTTAATATTTTCTATGGAAAACTTTAAAATAATTATCTTTTTTATATGAAAAACTGGGAAATTCCCTTGATATTTTAAAACATAAGTAGAAACTCCCTCAGAATCTCATCAGAAACTCCCTAAATTTGAGAATAATAACCCAAAAAAAAGTCTATTTATGATGTCTTGTCTTGACTTTGGGGTGCCTTGCCTTAAATTCATGAACAAATCTTATTAATTGTAGAACAAATTTCTTAGTTTTAGGTATATTTTCCTTAAATGTAGAAAAATATTTGAATGAATGTATAATTTTCTCCCTCTGTAAAAGGTATTTCCTCCTAAATTGATATTTTTGCGTGCGTGTCCATTAATTTGTCCCTAAGAGAGCTTCCAGCTGAGAGCACTCAGTCTTTTTCGAAAACTCCCTTCGTGTTTACAGATTATTTTTTGTTGTATTTCTCGTGAGTTTGTTTTTTCTGGACGTACCTTTTGCGTTATGACCGAGCCCGCTCCATTGGCCGCCGTTGCACCGGCAATGTTGCCATTCTTGGGATCCTTGCGCAAGTCCTCGGGCTCTCGCTTGATGCTAATTAGCTGCTGTTGCTGTTGCTGCTGCTGAACTGCACTGGAAACAATTGAGCCCGCGCTGCCAACGCCAGCGGCACTAACAATGTCGCCGGGATGTTGCTGCTGCTGCTGCTGGTGTTGCTGCTGTTGTTGCTGCTGCTGTTGCTGATGATGCGAGATCGTCGTGGTGGAGACCACGCCGGTGGTGGTGACCGTCGCCGAGGACGAGGGATGTGAGCCAAGGAGAAAGCCCTGAATCTCGTTTTGTGATAATCCAGAGACATCGATGGGCGTGGTCTGGCCATTGAGCTTGCCGCTAGAAGAATAAAATAAAGAAATATATTATTTATAAAGTTTTCCATAATTAAAAAAAATTATAAAGAAAAGATCAAAATACGATAGCAATAAATATAACTGATGCTCGACAGCATATATTTAAACAGAAATCTCTTTATTAAAAATACACTGCAACTTATTAGTTTAAATGAGATTTTAATGTGATTTAAACAAGTTATATTAACTTAAAGTACATACAACAAAATAGGCTAATTTCCCCTAATAAAACCCAATTGAAACTCCCCCACAATCACGCTCTAAAGCAACTCCATTAGCGCGCTTATCAATCAAGCCGGCGATCAGCAATCACCTGGGCAATCAAGCAATCAAGCTGCAACTGCGGCGGCGAGGCAAGGCTAATTTCATTCACCGGAGCTGTGAGACTGGAGGAGAACCAGAAACCCACCGGAGACACCTGTGCGCTGTGCTCACGAAAACCTGGATGACCGCCCAAATGGGAGCAGAAACCAGCCACTATAAACCAGAATCCAGCCTGCAGCCGCCAGCAGCAAGTGCCAGCATAAAAAAAAAAAACAAAACCAGACACAAGACAACAACAACGACTTTTGGCCAGCTTCCAGTCCAGTCGAGTTGGCAACAAATGCGAGTAAAAATAAACAAAAAAACAAAAACAGAAAAATATATTTATATAGTGGAGAGACTCAGAATTAGTGGCATCCCCGAGAGTTTGTGCCCCTTCGATATGGCTTATCGCTCCTCCATCGATGTGCCGACAACTCTAGGAAGAGTCATAAATTAGCCGACGATGATGCCTGTCTCCCCAGTCTGTGATAATCGAAAATGGATAACTTTTTGGATTTTTCTCAACAACGGTGGGGTGTGGGGTAGGAACAGGAGACCCAGCACCAAGGTCATCCAACGAGCATAAGTAAAGGAAGCAACTCGGAGTTGTCCTGGCAGCTGGAAAACCGGATCTGATTGTGGATTTATTTCCACCAAGTCTTCAGAAACACAATTAAAGCTCTTTGAGGGAAACCCCGCCCTTTGACCAAAAAAAAAGGACAACCAACATTTTGGGTAAATTGTGCACAAAAAAAATAAAGGAATATATATTTCAAAAGAAATTATATTCATAAGGGAATTCATAATGGTGAAATTGGTTAAAAACAAGGGTTTTAGGGTTTCCTTAAATTTAAGAATCTAAATTATGTTTTAAACTTTTATTATTTGCTTAAAGATATAGTGATCTTATTTTTTAAAGACTTCTTGCCTATGCTAATCTTGTTTTGGGTTCTGGGCCTGAGACTGGTTCTTTTTTGATTGATTATTCTGCTTTGTTTTGATTATACCATTCTTGACTTCTGATCTTCCATTAATTATATCGTTTATTTAGATAGATTTTAGAATTAAAGAAGCCTTTATAAAGAATGTTTAGGGTTTCTTTCTAATTGGTTATAAGTTCTTCAAAGTATCTTCTTTTTTCCTAAAATCCTTAATCGAAATTCCTTTACTTTCTCATGTTTGCTCGCAATATTTGTCCTATTTTATTTCAAATATTAATATTAATGATAAATCCTAAGCATTACCATTATATTAAACCCTCTAAATTACCAATTCTATACCTCCATATCTCTAGTAACGAACATAACTCTAAGAATCCATCAGATATCTACCAATTTTCAGCAAGTTCTTGGGCAATTTGTCTTCATTTGTTCGTAGATATTGATTGCATATATGCAAAATTCCAAGAGTTTCGTAAAATTGCGCCACACCTTTTGGACTCACATAGATACTATATAGAAAAAAAAGCTGTAAAGGTGTATTTGTGTGTGTGCGCGCAGTGTCCGCTGTCAGTTCTTCCGTTAGCAGCTGTTGCAAGCGATTTCGGCGCTGTCTACTTATTTCCATTCGGTTCTTTTTCTCTCTTTTCAGTTACGGTTCGTTTTGGGCTTTATTTATACACTAACAAAAGGAGTACAAACTTAAAAAAATACCAAGTCCACACTAGAAAAGTTCCTTTTCCTTACAAAAACTCTAAAAAGGGTATAAGGACTTCGGCTTTCTTTTTAAGGTTTTTCTTTCCTTTTTTTTTTGGCATTGCTCAAGTTGACAACGTTGGTCGTGGAGATTGCGATTGCGATCGCTTGCCCCATTTTGTGGCACTTGTCTCCCTCGTGCCCGGTGTCCCGGTTTCACCCGAAGTTGTTTTCTGGCTTCTCTCAGTCTTTTCTGTTCTCCACACACAACACACACACTCCACAAAAAGACAAAAAACGGACATCGACATGGGTACGAAAAAAATGTTTTTGTTTTTATGTTCTGCAGAACATTTTCGCTATTAAAAAATGACACTCGGATTCGGACTCGGAGACGACGTTATAACATTTTTTCGTAATGCGATATATATGTGGCCATTTACTCCGCTTTTAGGGTCAGGTCGTGTAAATCACGTAGCGGATATGGGGAAGGCGAGAATGAGCAGCACATTTATTAGATGCCCCAAGTGCTGTCCATATCTCTCTCTTTCGGCCCGGCTTTTAATTGTGTTTCTAAGCCAAGTGCCGAGACGCGCGACCTTTTCCAGGCCCCCGAACTACGGTTACGGTTCGGTTTCATCACGGCTCCATAAAAGCAGACAAAGTGTTCCGTGTGGGTTTCATAACCCCACAGATTAAACCAAGCCCAAGCCACGTTTTTCGCGGATTTCCACGAAGCGCCTGAGTACACAGCATTTTCTAGATCCCCTCAAAACAAAAATTCGGAAGAAAATGAAAATGTTTTCAAGTTTACGATGAGGAGTTATGAAATATTTTGCGTGATGTTTAAATTAGATTTTGGTTTAACAGGGGGTTAACTAAGTACAGGTTAAATTTAACTCGTAAATGAAGTTTTTGAAAGAAATAAAAATTATAATACTTTGGGTTTGTTATATTAGATATTAAATTATGGATATTATATGTCTTTTTAAAATTAAAATAATGAAATAATGAATATTTATAAGAAGAAGTAGTATCATAATTATTGTGGTTCCATTATAAAAATATCTTCTACAATATCAAATATTAACCTGAAGAAAAATCCCTCATAAATAATCCCTAGTATACTTTTAAGGATTCTTCCTTCACTTTTCTGGATCTTTTTGTAATCCTTGTCCCAGTTGGAGACTTACCTCCAAGCAATATCACCAGGCGAATCATGGCTCTCCTTCTCGTCTTCACTACGATAATAACTATAGATGGGATAGGCACTATTCTCGGAGGGATTAGAGTGCTGTGGAGGCAGTTGCTCCTGCTGTTCTCCCAACTGAATCTCTGCGGCAACGGCCTGCATCAGACCAGCGGCTGTCAGAGGAACATGATGATGCTGCTGGTGATGGTGATGCTGTTCCTGCTGCTGATCCTGATGGATCAAACCCAAGCTCGTCTCCTTGACCGACTCACTGGGATGATAGTAGTGATGGTGGAGAAGCTCTTGCTGCTCCTGGTGATGCGGATCACTCTGGGGATCCAAGCTGAAGCCTCGCCTGTTGTATTAAGGGGATTTTTAAAGCTCGGATTTTTTCGAAATTCAAGCTGGGCGTGGCAAAGATACAGTCGCAGACAACGCCCATGTGCGTGCATTTCGGTTTTTTGGAGTCTCAGTTTTTTTTTTTTTTTTTGGCAATCCATCGGATACATCGCCAGCATCATTAGCATTTTCATTTCTATTTATTTTCTATTTACATAATCAATTTCGGGCCAGGTGCGTCTCTCTGATAATATCGCCGGCTCGAGGTTGTGTGTGTCTTCGTCTCAGTTACGGATTTGTAAGTTTTGCGGCAACTTTTTACTGCTTTCGGCATCGGAATTGATTCGTTTAGCGCTATTAGCGCCATCAAATGAAAACAAAAACGGAGAAAAAAAAAACAACAAAGAGCGTACCCCGAAAAAAAAGCGTCAACTTTTTGTTAGCACTTCGGGCAACGCCCCTTTTGCCGCCGCCCCTGGACTCTGCAAGTGGTCCGCAGCAGCAGCAGCAGCATTTATTCACTAATTATTTATTTCCCATGAAGCTTTTTTTTACTCCAAAGCTAAGCCACTCGCAGAACTTGCCGGGGTATAGCTCATATTTGCAGATTTATGTAACAGGAAAGAGGAAGTGGCTTCCGGATGCATTCGTTGCATATAAAATTCTTAATCAAAATCCGTCTTGAGCAACGCCCAATAGTCAGATTAATTATAAGAGTGGGAACATGGGGATTTTCTTGGAGTTTTTTTTAGGTCAACATATAATGTAGCTATTTATAAAGGAACAAATTTACTGTTTTTTTTTATACTTTTTCCGTATTATTTTCATAGCCAAGGCTTGTAATTATAAAGCTAAGTCATGCTTGGTGGTTAATGCCTGCCTTTAAACCCTATAAACAGGCAATAAAATGGTAAATAAAATTGTACAATTGATTGGGGTCATTATTAATTTGCATATTTCAATGTATGATTTGATTCATTAGCTTGCAAAAACTGTAACCTTCAAGCAAAGAATATTTTCTAGATAGAGATTTGTATCTATACATTATTTACGTAGATTTTAAATTACAAAAAATTCAAAAAAACTATAAATTTTATTTTAGAAATTTTTAGAAGAAAGATGCAGTTAGAAAACAAGTAATTATTTTTGAAATTCTTTTATTTAAATTACCCTCGAAATTATATCTTTATTTATGTCGCAAATCTCCTCTAGAAAAGTATCTCCCCTTCGATAGAGTATCTCCCTGATTTCCTCAATTTTAACCCATATTTTCCTTCGAGCTAAGTGCACGGATTTCGAGCCTGTGATTAGGCCAACACCTCGACCAACACTCGGTCCAGCCTCTCACTGGAAGCGATTCCCGTGGAGCCTGGCGATTGTGCAACAAGTAGCGAGCGTTTTCGCGAAAACAAAGCTCAACAAAGGACAACCCTGATGTTGAAAAATGGCAACCCTGCTGGGCACTTTCTGCCACCTGAAAACATGCAAAGTTTAAGATTTAAGAATGAAAAA